TTTCACACACACACAGCACTCTCTCACAGCACTCTCACAGAGCACTCTCTCACACCCATCTCACACAGCACTCTCACACCCATCACTCACACACGGCACTCACACACGGCACACACACACACACCGCACCCTCACACACACACATACTGCACCCCTCACATACACACAGAACCCCCCCAACACACTGCACCACACACATACACAATACTTCCAAATATATATATATATATATATACACACATATACATATACATACACACACACACTACACTCTTAAAGGACCACTCTAGCCACCCAGACCACTTCAGCTTAATGAAGTGGTCTTGGTGTCAGGTCCTTCTAGGGTTAACCCATTGTTTTATAAACATAGCAGTTTCAGAGAAACTGCTATGTTTATCAATGGGTTAAGCCTTCCCCCAAAGCCTCTAGCAGCTGTCTCATTGACAGCCGCTAGAGGCGCTTGCGTGATTCTCACTGTGAAAATCACAGTGAAACACGCAAGCGTCCATAGGAAAGCATTGATAATGCTTTCCTATGCGACTGGCTGAATGCGCGCGCAGCTCTTGCCGCGCGTGCGCATTCAGCCGACGGGGCGGATCGGAGGAGGAGAGCTCCCCGCCCGGCGCTGGAAAAAGGTAAGTTTAACCCCTTTCCAGAGCTGGGCGGGAGGGGGTCCCTGAGCCACATATGCATCACATTACACCACAAACACAACACGACTAAAACCGACCTTATTACACAATACCACACCACGACCAGCTCACTCTACACACACCCAATACCACAAGCAGGCTCCAAACACATGCACAATACTCTGTCCTGGCCTTTTGTCTCCTGGTATCCATTTATAGAGACACCAGAGACAAGTTGCAAGGAAACACAGTGCAAGCATGTTATTAAATTTGCTTGCACTGTGCAGAACAAATACAGGACTTTTTCTCATGCTAGAGCTCTTCAGCAGAGCTCTGCGCATGGTCTGCCCTGGAAGAGCATTGAACCAACATGCTCACTTTGAGAGGGGGCGTGTTTGTCATGAGTGATGACAAAACACACCTCCTCTGCCCCGCCCCCTTTTTAGTGGGCCGCTGTGTTAAAAAAATGCCCGGGCCGAATTTTTCTCCCAGTCCGGACCTGCCAGATGACCCTGGCACGATCAAGAGTTGAGACATAGTGTCAGTTCCTTCTCGCGTCCCCAAGTCCGCAAATGACCTTTGACATTTTACAACTACAGGAAAATGGCTAATAGGTGAGCTTGGCAGCTCATGAACCGACTGCTAGGAAACAGGTCGCAACCACACGTACGATGGATCTATCGGCGGATGGTGTTTTTTCCATATTTGGGATGCTTCGTCGGCTGGCATCTTGATCGATCCGTCTACTGTCATTTATCGCAGTTGGAAAGTCCATTTAGGATTGCTCTGATATCTCCCGGAATAGGTATCAGCGAAACAAACAGCGTTGGATTTGTTGACTGAGCGTTAAAACAGCAAATACGAAGCCTCCTGTCATGTTATAAAATTGTAGATTATGCTAGCTTTAGTGTACCTATAATCTTAATTTTATTAATGACAGGAGGCGAGTATTTCCCACCCATTCTTATCCCTCCCTCATTTAATTTTAATAGTTTGGATTAATCAGGTATGTATGCAACTCTGCTTGTTGTCTCTGCTACTTGTCACTTGTTCTTATGTCTGTTTTTTCATAAGTAGGGTTGGGATATCTACATAATTAAGGTACTTTTGGTTGCTACATTGGGTACCTACATGTTTATTCAGAGTACATTTCATTGGATAATCAACCTGTTCGATTCTGTTTTTCTCTCGTTTCAGTTTACAATCCATCAACGCTATCTGGTGTGGCAGTTCTTCTCGGAGGATGGATATTGTTGTATTCATCATATCATCGTTTCTTCCCCATTATGTTTTCCTGCGTTTATTCTGTTTTTGTCGCAGCTTGAAAGAGGAAATTATGTATGGGGAGGGGAGTTTTATGGTACCTAACATTTTTCTGATTGGTTATTTTTCTGTGCTGCTGTGGAGTTCTAGTAAAGAGAGTCTTAAGCAAATACTCGCCTCCTGTCATTAATAGAATTAAGATTATAGGGACACTAAAGCTAGCATAATCTACAATTGTCAGGAATTAATGGAGAACTCCACATTCTAAGCCAAATAACCGAATTGGAAACATTCTTTAAGTCAGCTACATTTTTAGTTTGGCTGTTTTGTTCTACAATTTTAAATTCACTTTGGCTATACTCGGAGTTGCTGATATTTTTAGAGTTTAATAAATAATCCTGATTATTGTCGGCCATCAGTTTACATTGGAGATTAAACTAGAACGACCTCTTATAGACTTGGGTTTGCCCATTTTCCCCTTATTAATGATTCTCCAAGTTTTCACTGTGCTTGCTTGTTTGGGTCAACACTTTTTCCACAGCTTCCAGCACTTGTGAAATGTCAGTGTGAATAGTAAGGTGTGCTGCCATAGGTTAGTGCCGGGCACATTTAGCAAAACATCTCAATAGCTCCAGAGATCAAAGAGATGAAGTAGGTGTGAGCTTAGTCATTGGTGTTTGGCAGACCAGGAATGTCAATAAATGCTGTGTTCCTCCTTTTATTTAGGTGGTACTTGGTAATGCGAACATTGTGAGTCTTAAAGTTGCAAAGAACATGAACAAATGTCCACTTGATACATAATAACCCTATCTCATTCAGTAGCCATCATGCAACTGCAAATGGACAGAACTAGGGAAGTTCTGGAGTTTGGGTCAGCTGCAATATCATAGCAAAAACCTTCAGAATGGGTGGATACTTTGAGTTTACTTGTTCCACTACTGAACAAAGCTGACACCTCTAGTTTATGTTATATATAAGTATATATGCAACTGTTTTAGATATCATGCTGTACCCATATTAACCTCAGGGCAGTCTTAATATTTCCTTCACATACACCCTCTAGCCATCTGGCATATACCTCTGCCCCTCCAAAATTCTTTAGAACTAAATATGAGTTGATCATCAAGTTGAAATTTCTGTGTGGGCTAATTTCCTGTTCAAAAGGATAAATTAATTTGCAATGATCCTATCTATCCATTGCAGTATAAAGAACGTTGCCACTGACCAAAGAATGAGACCATATATTGTCCCCAAAATCAACCCCCATGTTTATACATCCCCTGGGGTGGGTCCCCTGCTTTACACGACTCAAGGCCCACTCCTGACTCCACCCACAGGGCCACCTACAAGGATGAGTAAAGTGGATCAAGTGTGTATGTGTATAGTGGATGCATTGTGTGTGTGTGTGTGTAGTAGTGGATGCATTGTGTGTATGTGTATAGTCATAATGGATGCAGAGTGTGTGTATGTCATGTAGTGTGTGTGTGTGTGTCTAGTGGATGTCATGTAGTGTGTGTGTGTGTGTGTATATAGTGGATGTCATGTAGTGTGTGTGTACAGTGGATGTCATGTAGTGTGTGTGTGTGTAGTGGATGTCGTGTAGTGTGTGTGTGTGTATATAGCGGATGTCATGTAGTGTGTGTGTACAGTGGATGTCATGTAGTGTGTGTGTGTGTGTGTGTTTATATAGCGGATGTCATGTAGTGTGTGTGTGTGTCTAGTGGATGTCATGTAGTGTGTGTGTGTGTGTGTGTGTATATATAGCGGATGTCATGTAGTGTGTGTGTGTGTGTATAGTGGATGTCATGTAGTGTGTGTGTGTGTGTGTATAGTGGATGTCATGTAGTGTGTGTGTGTGCTTGTGTGTCAAGTGGATGCATTGTGTATTTATAGCTGATGAAGTATGTGTGTGTAAAGTGGATGAAGTGGATGTAGTTGATGCAGTGTGTGATTTATAGAGGATGCATTGTGTGTGTAAGTAAAGTGGATGCAGTGTGTGTATAGAGGATGTCATGTAGTGTGTGTGTGCTTGTGTGTGAAGCGAAGTCATTGTGTATTTATAGAGGATGCAGTGTGTGTGTGTGTGTAGTGGATGCAGTGTGTGTATAGAGGATGCAGTGTGTGTATAGAGAATGTAGTGTGTGTGATGGCTAGTGACGGCTAAGGGCTTGACAGCAATAGCTCTGCATTTTGTCAAACAGGGAAAATACACAAGACAAAGACGTCCTTGCTGAAGATATCCTTTGACTGGGTTGGAATTTCCAACACATTTTTTATGAGCAGTTTATAAAGATTTTATCTTTCTGAAACACTAACCCCCCTGCAGCTTCCAGGCTTGTGTCATTGAGTGAGAAGCTGCTTCCCCAACTGATGCACTCATCCCCAATTATATAGGCATCTAGTCACTAAAGAGCCATATGGGCTGTGTTAAAAGCTTAGGCTAAAAAAATAAATAAAAAAAAAGATTTTTTTAAAGCTTGACTTTACCATAGAGTGAATGGACCCCTTATATAACAGTAGGTACCTGCAGTAAGGCGCACCATACCTTTTATAAATAAACAAATAAATATAAATACATTTAAATGAATTTTTTTGAAAAAAAAGAAACATAAATCAAAAATAAAAAGTAAATTAAATAAAATTGTTAATATTGACGTTTTTCATGCATATTCCTAGATTTAAAGGGAATTTATGACTGCCAAATAAAACATTATTTCACATTGCAAATTCAATCTAGAATGATTTCATAAACTTTTCACTCCACCTTTCTGTTTATGTGTCTTTAGTGTTTTAACCAGCTCTTTAAGGAGGGGGGTGCATAGGATGGTGGATGGGGAGGAGGGGTGACTGTCCAAGGGTTCCAAACACAGTCACTGCTTCTGAAAACCGACTCCACTTTAGGGATCTGAGCCAAGACAGGGAAACTCAGAGCTAAGGAGGAGCGAGAGGAGGAGGAGGCTGGCTTAGGACAGCTTACACACAAAGCTACAGAGAAAAATAAATCACAGAGTGAAAGGGGATAGATGAAAGAATAAGGACATTTAGGTAGAATACAGAACGTGGGCACCCAGGACAAGGCATGCCATGTCCAACTTGTGGTCCACAATGTGTGGAGGCAAAAAGAAAAAGTACCAGGCTGAACCAGAAGTGGTGGAGCAGAAGGTCCAAACCGTCACCAAGGACCCTGGTCTGAGGGCATTCAGGAAGCTGGGTATGTCTGTGTGGGCACTGTCTGGAATGCCAGGGTGGGGAGGGCATCCCTGTGCCAGTCTGTCTGTTTATTATGGTTGGGGGAGGTCATGGAGGATTAAGGGTCATCTTGAAATCTAAAGAGGGGTGGAATGATGACAAACAGAATCCCATCATCACATGTGGAATATTCATTAAACCCACAGAATGTCTTGCTAGAATGTCTAGCAATCAGATACAAGGTTCTTAACCCTTGATGTGCCAGGAATTGCAATCTATCTCCAGCAGCCTACTCTGCCCACTCAATTGTAAGTGTAGATGTTGTTTTTGGGTCAATTTTACAAACATTTGGTACAAAACTTGACAAGTTAATTATGAGAGCAGGCAACTCCTTCATAGCTATTACACTAGGCTTAATTGTGAAATTATATATATTCAGTAGCACAAACAGTACTTACTGCACTCACACCCAAAGTGTCATAACACCAAGTGAATATTCATGTACTGCTACATATATACCTGTGTATAAGGTTGAGAATGGCTGCACAATGTCATATACTATCTTCCACTTAGTAGTGTATAATTGCAATGATACACAGGCTTATGACAGAATGATTTGTATTTATTTTTATTTTGGTTTGGTTTTTTTTGAAGTGTAGTTGAACCTGGAACTGTAAGTATAGATGGTAAAAGTTAGACCTGCAAGGGACTTTAAAACTCTTGCTTGGAACAGATTTTCACTGTGCTGGAACTGATTACGTGAAAAGTAAATAAATCCTAAAATAAATAGCTGGTGGTCACAAAGACACAATTTAATTTACTGATCAATAGGTAGGTTTAGTAAACAATCCAGATTTAAATACAATAAACATAGCTCTGTGGGAAACTCCTGTATTGTTAGAGTTCTCCTATTCCCATACATTTATCTATACTGTTAATGGATTGTAATGTTTATATAAACTTATTTTAGCACCCTCAGTTCTTGTTTGTGCACACCTTAGTGTGTTTGTTATACTAATCCACATTGTACACCTCTGTGGCATTTGTTGGCGCTATACGTATAAATAATGGCAATATTTATATATCTTCCTTGTGTGTTTTAACACTGTATGTAAGTGGTGGCCACTTAATGGACCTTCTAAGTAGCTTCACCACCTACCTGTTGTTGTCTTGTCTTGCCAAGGTTTGTGGTAGTTGCAGTGTGGTCTAGTATTTAAATATTGCTATAGTGGAAGTGTGATGTGATGTGTCTTTGTCTGTGGATATATTGAACATTACACAGTTTACATTTTTCTGTATTGTTCTGTGTGGTTTCAAAGTATTTAGTGGTAGTTGTGACCAGTTGAACATCTTATTCAGTCTGTCATTTAAGTCATCTCTGGTTGATTGTGTCTGCTTGTTAGCCAGAATAGCAATAGACACATCCCAAGAGCTATAAAATTCTTGAATCATGTCAAGGTTATTCAATAAAGTGTTCGTTTGGCTATTCTGCTCAAAAATATGAAATTCACTTTGAATGCAATTTAAATTCCTGAACGTTCACATTTTATTGAATAACCTGGAGCATTAGCCTTTACCACTTCCACCGGAATGCTGTACCTAGTGTCTACTACCCTTTCCGTCAAGTAACATTTTTTTCAAATTGCCTTTCACGCTTTCACTCTCCTTTACAAACGCTATCCTTTTGTCCTTATGCTTTTAGGTTAAAAATGTATTTTATATAAATATTTATAATGCATTAAAAAATTTCAATATAGATAATGCATTAAAAAATGTAAGTATAAAAACATTATAAATAAAGTTGCACAGATGCAAAATTTCCAATTTTGGACATATTAGTGGGTCCATCTGCAGTTGCAGGCAGGTCCCTCTCACCAGGATGAGATGCTCCAATCAGGAGTGTCTCATTCTGGAGACTGATCTTATTCCATAAACCTCTGTCCAGAAGAGGTTTATGGTATACGTAGTTTGTCCCACTTATTACTTGGAATCAATGGAACTACTAAGTGAAGTGATAACACCTATAGCGCACTTGCTGTTTGTTAACTCACAACCTGGGACACTGTTTAGTAAAAGGGGCTGTGTTTTGCTATTGGCTGAGCAGCAGACTGCATGCGCAGAGTCTGTAGCATATATGCTGCAGGTATAATAGGTGTTCTGAGTACCTGAGTGACAGTCCCGGTGGGCTGTCTTATAATGGCACCAACTTTACCAAATTGCTGCTGCTATAATTTTAATAATGAGTGAGCACAGTATATTCTATGATGCTTGGACTGACCCTTTAAAGGGGCTCTTCCAGCACCATAACAAGACACCATCTTATCTTGGGCTGAAAGAGTCAGTTGATGCTCTTAGCCTATCAGTAGCTCTCCATTGTGAAACATGAGTGAAGAAGGTATGTCAGCTGATGCTCTCAGCCTTTTAGAAGTGCGCAGTCTGAGGCTTCCCGTTCGAAGCTTCGGACATTGAGCGTAAGTCCATGAGCTGAGCAGAGCATACGGGAACGAAAGTGCGGGGGCCGAGGGATTTTTCATTGGCTTGCAGACTTTGGGGTTGAACCGCTCTTGGGAACCTTCGTTGCAAGAGGTCCTTGAAGTTGGCCTGTTCTACACAAATGTAGAGACCTATGGAATATAATCACAGCTCTGCACTCCTATTGAAATTAATTGGATGACTAGGATTGGCTGGCAGATGGCAGATACATTCTACACATTGCTATCACACAGTAATAAACCCTTACTATATATTACAAATACAACTTCTCCTTATTGTCTAATAACAAGGATACAAAGATCTAACACTTAGACACAGATTTGTCGACAAATGGAAAATATTTATTCTACCACGAATAAGATCCCAAACTTCAGCACTCCTCACCACAACTCTGCCCTGACTTTAGGAGATTCTCACTAGTGAGGCTCTCCTGGGCCAATCCAATGCTTCTCACAGAGAAGCATTGGGATTCCATGGTGCATGCGCTGAGGTCTCCATTCTGAGCCAATAGAATGCTTCACATAGAGACACATTGGGGGATATTTATCAAAGTGTAGGTGGAACCTCTAATTTTCAATGAATTTCTGGTGCAATTTACAAAATTGGACGGATTTTTAAATATGCTGTTTTTTACGTCTTTAATCATAATTTTTTTTAATATACACCATTTACCAGAATTTTTCAGAACCTTTTCTGGTGAAAAGTGTTAAGTTTCACTTCCCTTTTTTTCTGCCACTCGAAATTTGAGGGTCTTCTGAAATAGAAATGTTTGTGAAAAAATGCAGAATTTACTACAAAGACAATTGTCATCACGTTTAGAGCACTTTGATAAATATAATCAAAATGATGACAGAATATGAGCGTCACTTTTCAGAAACCTTCGATAAATATCCCCAGTGAATGCAGTGCTCCTCCATGAGAAGCACTGCCTCCTGCTATGAATGAATGAATGCTCAAAGTGAGTACGGAAGACCACTTTTCTGGCTGTTTGACAGGTTGGAGGGTGCAACTTTTAAAATTTATAAAAATTCAGATATTTCTTGAAATCACCACTTTTATCAAATAAGAAAGAGGGGACAGCAAATTAACCCCTAAAGCAGGCTTCCCCAAACTCCGGCCCTCCAGATGTTGCTGAACTACAACTCCCATGATTCTATGAATTAAATAGATAGGCTGAGAGTCATGGGAGTTGTAGTTCAGTAACATCTGGAGGGCCGGAGTTTGGGGAAGCCTGCCCTAAAGCGTGTCTACAAGGCAGCTGAAGTTCTTTTGGAATCTGGAGTGTTCCTTTTTTTAATTTTTTTAAATTCTTTATTTTTGCAGTGCACATAGATATCACAACGCACATGTGGTACTCCAACGGCAATCCACATGGAGTGTCCCTTTTAATCTGAAGTGTTCTAGTAACATAACGTATATTCAAGCATTTTTACCTTATAATTTATCATTTGTACATTAAATGTTATTACTTGTAATATAGTAATGTACTTCCCTTTAAAAATGCTTTCAACATCAACTTTTTATAACACTGTAATTTATTTTGGGATTCTGACTATCACCCTTGCCTTTTAGTGTACATAATAATTAGAGACTTACTGAGACCCCGTCCGGCTCCAAGGCTCCTTGGTAGGGTAATTACTACGTCCACACCGTTTTGACATGTGTCATTTTGGCAGATATATAGCAAAGGTAAAGGAAGAAAAAAAAAAGTCCACACACTCTTTTAGAAATGGGAAAGTTATTTTAATGTTCTCCTGTTGTGCCAAATTTCTATATATTTTTTTTCGTTTAACAGTAAATGGTCATGACTTGAAAACCGAACTGCCAAATGTTAGCTAGCAGTGTAGTTTTGGAAACCATTTCCAATTCAGTTATGGCCACAGCATGGCTATTTCATTCTAAATAATGCACACAAAACTGATCTGTCCACATCTTTAGGAAGAAATGCCTTTAAACTAGGACTAGCCCAAAGGTAGACACCCAGGTAGCAACTTTATCACATTTGGATGATTAGGGCATTCTTACCCGCACATTATAAGCAACATAGCCACATAGGCTGAAAACATACTTGTGCCCATCAAGTTTAGCTTTTCTCACATCTGATTTTGCTGTTGATCCAAAAGAACAAACACGCAAAAATCTTCCATTCCATTAATTACTTTTGCAGCCCGCTTCTGAACATTTTCTAGTGCCATAATATACTTCTTTAGAACAGGTGCTCAAAATTGCACAGCTTAAAGGACCACTATAGGCACCCAGACCACTTCAGCTTAATGAGGTGGTCTGGGTGCCTGGTCCATCTAGGGTTAACCCTTTTTTCTATAAACATAGCAGTTTCTGAGAAACTGCTATGTTTATAATAGGGTTAATCCAGCCTCTCGTGGCTGTCTCATTGACATCCGCTAGAGGGCTTCAGCGTTTCACACTGTGATAATCACAGTGAGAAGACGCCAGCGTCCATAGGAAAGCATTGTGAATGCTTTCCTATGGACTGGCTGAATGCGCCCGCGGCTCATGCCGCGCATGCGCATTCAGCCGAAGAGGAGGAGAAGAGGGAGGAGGATCGGAGGCGGAGAGCTCCCCGTCCGGCGCTGGAGTAAGAGGTAAGTTTAACCCCTTCCTCTCTATCCAGCCCGGCGGGAGTGGGACCCTGAGGGTGGGGGCACCCTCAGGGCACTATAGTGCCTGGAAAACGAGTATGTTTTCCTGGCACTATAGTGGTCCTTTAATCAATGTGTGGTTTTACCGTTGATTTATAAAGAGGCATAATGATATTTTCATCCTGAGAATGAATGCACGACAATACCTTACTGGCCTTAGCAACTGTTGATTGACTGCACATATTTGCCTAGTTTGTTGTCTATAACAAGTCCCACATTCTTCTTGTGTATTGTTATCCCTAATTCACTACCATTTCGAGTGTAGGTTGCTTGTGCATAACTTTGCCTTTTTCTACATTAAGTTTAATTTGCCATTTGAGTGCCCAGTCCCCGATCTATCTAAATCCTTCTGCAGCAAAGTTATATCCTGCTCACATGTTTTGTGTCATCTGCAAATACTGACACATGAATTTCAATGCCTATTTCAAGATCATTTATAAATATGTTAAATACAAGTCGTCTCTGAACAGAACACTGAGGGACACATAGCATTTATGTCTGTCATGTAAATAGACGCAGTGGGGTCATAGTGTCATTGTTACATAAAGGGACATCCCTAAACACCATAACCACTACAGCAGGTGCCCTGGTAGCCTCCCATTGTAAGGAGTCAAGTCATTTTTGAATGGTTTGATATCTTAACTGGGGTTATCTGGGTTCTGCTCCACACCTCCACTACCATCGCCAGAGAGCCAAAAGTTCCTAAGCAGAACTTCTGTTAGCTTTTCTGAGCTAAACCCTGGCTTAGCTCGTGTGCTGACAGTGATCAATGAGATGGAGTATGTAACGGAGCTCGCTGTACCCCGACTAGGTACCTCCGCTAAAGGATCGCATTCTAGCTGGAACAGGGACAAACCGCAGCACTTCTGCCCTCAGACACCGTGGCTTGACTGGGGCCCTGGAACCGCTCCCTCCTCGAGCCGAATGGGAAACTTGCTGTAGCAACCCTCAGACACTGGACGACACTCAGTCCTGGGAGCTCTAGTCCTTACAAGGACTTTCCCTGTTGAATCCTCCACACTGGAACAGTGATTAAAGAATAGCCCTTTCCCCTCCCAGTAACCAGACGACACATAGTTCTGGGAGTACAAGCTGGAATTCTAATGGCAGCCACAACTCGCCTTATATGCAGGTCCTAATGCAAGGGGCACTCACCCCTGGACCTGAGAGTAGACTACTGTAAAGGCATACACACAATAACATTGGCTCTCAGGTCCAGGACACTTCCATACAAAACAAGACAATCCCTCCCCTGTGCCTGTGAGATAATTGGGAGATAAGCACTGTACAAAACTCAGTTATCTCCAAGCATAAAAACCACACATTTCCCAAACACCCCAAAAGCACCTTAAAAATACAACAAAAAACCCCCCACAAAAGTGACATCCCCTGATAGCCCTGATCTGGTTAACCAACATATCCACAAATCACCCAGATCGGTTCAGGGGTTCAGGAAGGCATCAAACCCTTTTATCTCAAACCGTATATTTCAAAAGTGTTCAAAACCATCAGAAAGGTGTAATTGTGATTGCGCTGACATTAATGGGTCATCAGCAGCCGTTAACATGAAAATAATTACCAAAAGGTAGATTGTGATCAAGGACATAAGGGCACCCATTTTATCAACTTTGAATGCATGAAAAGCTCAGTTAATCTTAACAGAAATATGTAATCAGACATTGCTTTGTAAACAGTAAAAACAAAAAAACTGTTATATCAAGATTTTCTCAAAATTAGGTTGCAAACCAAGATGAAGAAAAAAAATCAATTTGGGGTAAATATGAATGGGTTACTCCCACCAGAATGACCACATCCGTGATTTGAAGTGGTAATGGTGCCTGGAGTCTTTTTGAAACACTGCACTTACAGAGTTTAATCTCTTGCCGGAGGTATAACGGCACCTTCAGCAGTGTTATTGAAGCACGTCAACACTAACATGAATTCTGTGCAAATTATTTTTTTTTTGCACCTTGTGTGACATTCATTGGTTGATTCCCATTTTACAGCGCAATGGAATGTGATGGTGCCATAGAAATAATAAAATAATATTTGCTGTCGGCTGACAGTCTCAATCAATGAATGGCATATGGATCGGCTTCTGCAGCTCTGCAGAAGCCCGACGTTTGAGAGCCTAGAAGCAAAGATCCTTGCAGCTTGATGGGGACTCAGTAAGAATACAAACCAGCGGGCTGTATTGTTTATGGTGCTTGGAGTTCCCCTTTAACTACATACTATATTAGTATAGGTATAGCAGTATTTCTCGTAATTAAAGTTCTCAGTCCTACCTTTACATATTGACATGTATTATGCTGCTGTTCTGTCTAAACGTTAGGGAAAGGGCAGGGATGGGTGAAACGAGAACATTATCTATGTGAATATACAATTTCAAAGCTGCTATCAAATTGCAAATATGGATACGGGCACACCTACACAGTGACAGGGCATGTTTTGCATGACAAAACTCTGCTGTGATTTACAGCGTGCTTATAGTTTGTGTTGAAAGAGAATCAATTGAATAAAAATGTGCCCCTAATTTATAATGTATTGTGGAGATATTTTCGTCCCCCCCAAAATAAATTAAATAAATAAATGAAAGCAAAAAAAAAAAAAAATAACGTTCCAGGTCCTTAGATTGCACAGCTTAAATAAAAAGTTTGCATCTTCCTGCCTGAAAGAGGCTCCCCCAAGCAGAAGCCTTTAATTTTGGTCTATGAGGTCTGATCTTATCCCATAAACGCCCATCCAGTAAACATTCCATATATACTATATCAAAGCTCTATCATCGCTGGATCACCAAGATCAATCACAGAATGCATGCCACAACTCTGTCAATTCTGTCCTTGGACACAGGGAGCCTGAAAGTGGGGTTATAAGCTAATTTCAGAGCCGAGAGTGGGTGCGGGGTACTCTTTGCTCCACAAAATTTGCAATAATGTAAAGTGGTTATGGTACTTAGAATCACCCTCTAATTGCGTAAACATCACTTTCAGCAGGTCATAGTCATGCTGATATCCTCTTTTTCTTTGGAAGTTTAATTAAAATACCCATATGATATTTAGGAAAGGAGCAAAATGATTGTAACAGTTTGTGGAAGTAACTAGCGTAATATTCTGTATCATGTGACCTGGATGGAAACCCATACTCTAATATATATATATATATATTATGGGTCAATAGCAGAAACAGGCATACTGTGTTGGAGACGCACAGTATTCCATCCTACAGCTTCTTTCTATATTACATCAAGAGTAGTGGAAGTAACCGGGCTGTGGTGCAGACTCATGCAGACTGCAGCTCCCATCCACTGAATGAGACAAGAGCGGGAAGAGTTGTGGAAAGGAGGAGACTTATATGCAGTTGTGAGATCATGTCTGTGTCACTTTGTAAGTGCAGAGGTGGACAGACAGGAAAGGTGACTTTTTACATTGCAGACTTTAGATGCTATCGTACAGTCCATCATAATGAGAAGAAGCATATTAGTGTCATGTTATGTTGTGGTATGTCACACTACAGGTATTTTTAGTCATGACTGGTGTACAGGATTTACTGATAAAGGATGCAGCCATAAAAGGCAGGTGGAAGCTGTACAGAACCACACCATTACCTTCCCCTACCATCATTCAGCATCACTGTTCTTGTCATGGTTTAGAAAGTTCAGGGATTTCGTACCCCCTCACCTAGATACACACTCCTTGCCACACACACAGATATACAAGCATAAACGGTCATACCCATACCCACTGTTTTAGAATGCACACTTACACATTGCCAGAAACAAATACACAATGTCAGGAACACACACACAATCACATACACTGGTGCATAATGTTAGACACACACAGATTCCTGCTGTCAGACACACATGCTACACACAAAAAGAGACAAACTGTCAATGACATACAGCCAGAGACACACACAGTCAGGCATTTACAAATACAAATCCCAACCTCTTTCCTCCACAGTAACCGGCCATACAGGGTCCCCCTCCCGCCGGGCTCTGGGGAGAGGAAAGGGGTTAAACTTACCTTTATTCCAGCGCTGGGTGGGGTGCTCTCCTCCTCCTCTCCGCCTCTGATCCTCCTCTTCGGCTGAATGCGCATGCGCTGCGCGCGCATTCAGTCGGTCTCATAGGAAAGCATTTACAATGCTTTCCTATGGACGCTTGCGTCTTCTCACTGTGATTTTCACAGTGAGAAGCACGCAAGCGCCTCTAGCGGCTGTCAATGAGACAGCCACTAGAGGATTTGGAGGCTGGATTAACCCATTTATAAACATAGCAGTTTCTCTGAAACTGCTATGTTTATAAAAAAAAAGGGGTTAATCCTAGAGGAACCTGGCACCCAGACCACTTCATTAAGCTGAAGTGGTCTGGGTGCCTAGAGTGGTCCTTAAACTCCCCCTAGACAGTCCTAGCTCAATTGCCATGTCTTCAAGCTTGCAGCATAGTGTGAGAGACACATGTCATACCCCTAGTCCCGCTACACATCGTTGCCTCAGCTGCCAGTTAGAGAATCTCTATGGTAATGCTGAGAGAAAGCGATATCTATTAGTTGAACCTTAAAGGGGCACTATCTGTGCCCCCTGATGGTGCATGGAACATTATCACTCATGCGCATTATATTTACATAGACATGCAAGAACACACCTATTATATATGCCATTTGTGATTGATCGCTTATGTTCATAGTATGACTTACACATATTGCCCAGGTAGGAAACCCATAAACACACTTCCCAAGTGTCCCTGTTTAGGAGGGACAGTCCCTATTTTCGGCACAAATCCCTTGGTTCATCTTTCTATCCTAATGTCTCTCAGTTCTAGGAGCTCCATTTTGTAGGTGTGAGTGTACAACAGAGCTCCACAGCAATAATACTCCCAGTAATGTGTCTTTAAACGACAATAAATGTGTTTAGAAACCAGTCTGTGTAAATAATGTTATAACTCACATTTTAGTTGTATAAATTATTAATCCGTCACCTAAAATTTCTCAGAACAGCCTGGCCCCTGCCCACACCCCTAAAATTAAAGTGTCGCTCCTTCTTCACTTGAAATGTTGGGAGGTATGCATAAAGGAGAGAACAAAGTTCAGAAGGAATGTGTCAAAGTCACGCAAAGTCACAAAGATCGTCCATAAAGGTTACTTTCATGGATACTTGTTAAACAAATAACAAGAGATGCACATATCGCGAGTCCTGTTTGAGTACTCTTGCACACATAAAAGTGCCAAGCAATGGCCTTGCTGAGCCACAAACATGTTAATGACAGAGTTGTTCTGATTTTTTTTTGGTATTTTCACTTAAAGGGACTCTCCAGTGCCAGGAAAACAAACAGTTTTCCTGGCACTGCAGGTCCCCTCTCCCTCACACCCCCATCCTAAGTTGCTGAAGGGGTTAAACTTACCTGTATCCAGCACCCACACTCCTCCCCCGCCGACGTCATCCGGCGGGTGAGATCTATTGCGCATGCGCGGCCGCTGGTGGGGGAGACCTAATGTGCACACGCATTAGACCTCCCCATAGGAAAGCATTGAAAAATAATTCAAATGCTTTCCTATGGGGATTTCAGCGACGCTGGAGGTCTTCACATAGCGTGAGGATGTCCAGCTACGCTATAGCATACTTTTCATGTGCTATGATCACGGAAGTGCCCTCTAGTGGCTGTCTAGTAGACAGCCACTAGAGGAGGAGTTAAACCTGCAAGGTAAATATTGCAGTTTATGAAAACTGCAATATTTACACTTTCAGGGTTAAGAGTAGTGGAAGTTGGCACCCAGACCACTCCAATGGGCAGAAGTGGTCTGGGTGCCTGGAGTGTCCCTTTAAGTCCCCAATATGAGACACAATAAATAAATAAATACACAAAAGAGCAGAACGAGTATCCCAAAACGGCGCTGGATCACTGGATACAGGAATTATGGGAGGAGTGTGTAGAATATGGAATGATTCACCAAACCTTCCACAGATTTCAAAATTTCTATATCTAAAATAAAATAGCTGTGTTTGTAAGCATTTTGTAAGTATTTATAACTTTTATTTTAAAATATACACTTTAACCAACAAAATAACTTTTTTTGTAAATAAATAATTGAATTAATAAAATAAAATTCAGCTGGTGATTTACCACCTTTAATACAAGAAAAGGCCTGCAAAAACAATGAATAAAAATAAGCATAACGTGGAGAAAAACAATTGAAGAACGTTTTTTTATTTGTATTTTCGGGATACGTGACACAGTGCGGAGTGGATAAAAATGGCAAATATATAAAAATCCCCTTTGGCAAGTCTCAGACTGAAAAATCAGCTGGAAGGAATATGTCAACTCATATCATTCCGTGTATATTCTCAGATAATTAAAGCATTGCTACAAGTGGAGTTGTCAAAATCGGTTGGTACAGCTCTGTACATATTGCTCTGAAACTGTGTTATATTGTTATGCTGCATATACTTTAACTGTATTTTGGAAATTTAGGAGCAATGAGGCTGAGGTTTTGCCCAGGGCACCATATAACCTTGATTCGGCCTAAGGAAAATTTGCAAAAAATGTTCCCTCATGCCTCTACAAAATGAAACCTAATTTAGCACAATTACTAGGGGTTTATTTACTAAATGGGAAAATCTTTAAAATCACATTCTGACTTCAAAATGTTGAGCCAGAATTATGGGGGTAGAAACACGTAGGCCTAAATTTTGCAGCTTAATTGCAAATATAGTGAATGCACCTATATTAAATTATCAGGCTTGTTGTAACTTGTAAACTGCAACTCATGGCACAATTGCAGGTAATCTCATGAAAGAAATTAATTATTTTAAATTCAAGATGACTAGCTTGCTATGCAAACAGCTGTTTTGATTCAATGAAATTGTAGGCTGAATTGAGATGCATTGATTCAATGCATCTCTACGAGGAGGTTCTGACGGGCCAAAAACGGCATTTGACCCCACCCCGTGCCATTTGATGATGTCACAAAGGGAGCAGAGACAGCGCCAGCAGACCCGTGCGGCAATGGAAATAAGGTGAGTTTTAAACTTTTATAGGGGGGCAAGCCACCTAAATGGTGGGTTTAGCACTATAGGGTCAGGAATACATGTTTGTGTTCCTGACCATATAGTGTTCCTATGCATGCAGAACACTGATTATATAGTTTGCAGACACCCCTTCTACCTATAAAAGAAAAGTCGGGTCACCTTATACCATCAATTATGATCCAAACATTTGGCAAGGTTTGTAGCTGATATAGTATTCATTGTTATAATAGTCAAACCAATTTTAAGCCCGGATAGCTTAGTGGATATTATTATAGTATCCAAAGCAGTTGAAAGTTAACTAATTACTTTCAACTATTCACTTCCATTCTTTTTCTAAAGGTGACGTCGTTTCCTTGTAGCAATAAGGGAAATGAATTTGTACAGGAAGAGTTAAAAGCTGTTGTCAGATAAAGGGATAAAAAGAGCTTAGTGAGGGGTGAAGATTAAAAGGATTGAAGGCTACTGCAGCCGACACAACCTGGTACCTGAATGGATCATTTGTTCAGCTGATGGCTTGATGGAGTTGGAGAGAATTTAGGGACTTTGCTGCAAGAAAAGATTGTGTTTTTTAGGATTACGTGATGAACTAATTGGAAGCCTTATGTTTGGATTGCACAGTGTGGTGTCAATAGGAATGGAACTCTTATTGGATATACAACAGTTGTCTTTAGTTCTTGACGATGGTGGTGTATAATACTTTAACTATACAGTATCTGTAATCAAAATTAGCATAGGATTTTATAGTGGAAGTATCCATAAACCTGTTATGTTAATGCATTTCATAATTCGTGATAGTGGTGAAGATATGAAGAAAAATGCTGGTCAGGGAAAAAAAACTGCCATTGCTCAACGTGATGGAGTGTGGTGGAGGGAAACACAGGCAGCCATTTCTTTTTTTTAAAACATTCTTTATTTGTTATTTTTCAGTGTGGAAAAAGGTAAACATTAAGGTACAGAATTGAAGGAGGGTGTGGGTGGTACAGCCAAAATAGTACAGGTGCACAGTAATTTCCACACATGTGTCTTTGTGTCTCAAGGTGTTGTGAAGGAGTTGCTGTGTCGTGGTGTGGTCTGTTGGTTTGGCGTTTGCCGTGCGATAGTGTGGGGTTCAGGGAACTCTGTCTTGGTCTCTTTCCCTTTGCACGGTTCGTTTGGTCAAACCTGTGTTGGTGGCCGTTTGAGGTTTACGGTTTGTCTCGGTAACGCTTGTTGTGGTAGGGTGGGTTGCCCTCTGTCTGTTTTTATTGTCATCGTTGCGTATTGTTGGGTACCCATGGGTCCGGATGGTCGGTTGGGGGGGGGGTTGAGGGCCTATGTACAAGGGTGGGGGTACCATGGCGGGATTCAGTTTCGGGTGTCTGGTAGTCATCCAGTAGTTCGGGTTGGGGTAGTGTTTCGTACTTTGAGTATCAGTGCATTGGTATTTTGATTGCTATGTTGGTATAGCGGGCCTATTTGGAGAGATGGAGGCTGTCCGTGAGCCCTTATTGTAGGTGGGGTTCAGATAGCCAGGGGTCCCAGATTCTGTGGAAGTGCTTGGAGCTCTCATGAATAATGGCTGAGATCCTTTCCATGTGTATTGCTTCCCTGGTTTTGCGTATGATTGTTTGTAGTGTGGGGGTGTTTGGTGTTCCCCATACTTCGGCTATTGCCCGTCTAGTCGCTAGGGCTATCCTGTTTGTCATTTTGTTTTGGGCTCTGGTCAGGTCCTCTCTTGGTCTGGAAAGGAGCCATGTCCAGGGGTCTAATGGTATGGTGGTCTGGAGGAGTGTTGAGACTAGGGTAGCCACTTCTGCCCACAGTGGGGCCAATTTAGTGCAATGCCACCATGCGTGTATGTATGTGCCCCTCTGCCCACAATTTTTCCAGCATAGGTCCGCGTCTGCCTTGCCCATGTGGTACAGCCGTACCGGGGTTAGGTACCATCGGAGCAGTGTTTTGTACGCTTGCTCCTTGTGGTTGACGCATATGGATATGGAGGCTGTTGCCTCCCAGATGTCTTGCCAGTTGGTGGGGTTGCCCGGGGGCCCCAGGTCCCTCTCCCAAGCCGCCACATATGCCAATGCCCCCTTGGGCAGGCAGCCATTTCTTGACATGGTGGAGAGTGGTACCAATGCGAAGGGGGACAGCATTTTTCTACTATGAAATCCATCGAGGCATAACCAAACAGGAGCTGGCACAGACTCCCCACATAATGACTAAGACCTCATGGTGAGGTCTATACGTTGTGTGTTCACTTAGTGATCCATTAAACACTACCTTGATTTGAACTCATGAGTGCCTGGACATATTATGGATATAACATTATGGAGGAATGTGGCACAAAAAGACAGCTATCTCTTGATATGGTGGAGAGCGGTGGGACACAAAGCCTACAATTTCAAGACATGGAGGGTGGCCCACCACCTTTCCATAGACACAAAGCCTATTTCTATCATTTTCATGTAGCTTCTATTCCATCCATATACTGCATATTGCCCCATTAATAATTTGCAGCCACCACACTTTGCTTCCACTGTCTACAGTTTTAGTGACTGAGGTTTACCCTTGTCTGGCATAAGTAATTCCATGTGTTGACAGGAATAAATTATTGAGACCCAAATATTGGAGAACAGGTCAGTCCCCTTGAGATCTCCTTTTCTTATTCCTCCATGGGAAAACCAATTGCGGTCTTAGGATATTAAACCAGATGGACTCCCCAACTTAAAGGATGGACAGTATGAGAAAGATGAAAATCGGGGACGGAGTGAAAGTGGGCAAAGCTTCAAACTATATCCCCATACCGGAGATATTTTCTGTCACATTCTTCTGACTTGAGTGGAAACCAAAATTTCCCAGGTATGCTTGTCGATAGGAAATCCCCTAGGTCTCAAACCATCAGCTGTCACTGTTCTGTCACCGTCACTTATTCTGCAGCCATTAACAGACTGCACATTCCAGGTGGGGGCTAATCAGCGAAACCTTTTATTACTTAAAAGGTCACAAAGAGAAAGCATAACTCCCAAAAAGTATGAAAGTTCTGAAGGCAACGTTGATTTATATTTTGAGCCATAAAAAAACACAACACAGACATTTTACCCTAAATAGACCCTCTTGCCAAGATTAAATTATATACGACTGGTGCAAAATATTAGAGGTGATTACGATCATGGAAAGAACATTATGTGACCATCGTCAGACCTTCCTACAAATGGTCTTTTATTTTTACATGCAGGTTAATTTTGTTTTGTTTTTAGAATCAAGGATGCACCCTCCCCAGCTAGTGTGAAATGTGTTAACAGTCACCAGATTTTTGTAAACACTATTTGGAACATCTTTTCATTTACTATGTATGTACTTCCCATCAGAAATTTATATTCATTGGATTTCACACAAAAAACAAAAAATATATTATTTTTTTTTAAATTAAAATGTCTGGCATCCGTAAAGATATGAGACATAGGGTCAGCATAAATATACTATGCCACAAGCAATATTAATTCAACTTGAATTTTTTTTGTGTGCATTGCAAAACAGCAGCTTCAGGGCTGTGGGTACTCACCAGCCATAACATCTTTTGAAGACGGTTTAGAAAAATATATGACGAATATTCAGCTTTTAACAGTGCGTGTTGGCTATAGATAACGGCTCTGTACAGAGGAAAGAGAGATTTTTTGTCCCATTATTTGTATATTCAGTAGTCATAAATGTGATCACAAAATAACATCATGTTGGGGCTGAAACACCATATATGAAAACTGTGTCTGCATGATCCTTTTGCCTTAAGGTTGGAACTGGTAACACATCTTGAGAGTTGCTTGCTCCAGCTAAGGATCAACCATTTGGTTACGTATATTCTAGGTATAGAACACATCTATAATGCTTAAAGGGACACTATAGTCACCCAGACCACTTCAGCTCATTGAATGGGTCTAGGTGCAATATTCCTGTCACCTGTTAGTCCTGCAGTGTTGAGAAACTGCAATGATCACCTTGCAGGACTAAGACAAGCAGACAGCCACTAGAGGCACTTCTTGGATGTTAACGGACTCCAGGTCTCCTAAATTACGCTGGGCATCCTGGCGCTTTCTATGAGGACATCCAGCATCAGTGAAGCATTGTTTCAAAGCTTTTGTATAGGTGGGGCGCACTAATGTGCTTGTGTTGCTCACTGTTCATGCACATTAGTCCTCCCCCTCAGGTCAGATCACATCGGAGGAGGCGAAGCGTTGACCCAGCGCCGAGGGACCCACAGGATGGAGCGAGACATGATGTCCCAGATGTGCTCAATTGGATTCAGGTCTGGGGAACGGGCGGGCCAGTCCATAGCATCAATGCCTTCGTCCTGCAGGAACTGCTGACACACTCCAGCCACATGAGGTCTAGCATTGTTTTGCATTAGGAGGAACCCAGGGCCAACCGCACCAGCATATGGTCTCGCAAGGGGTCTGAGGATCTCATCTCGGTACCTAATGGCAGTCAGGCTACCTCTGTGCGGCTCCCCAAAGAAATGCCATCCCACACCCATAGGCGTGCGCAGCCTATTGTATTAGAGTGTGCACCCTAAAGCAGAAACACACACGCCATGTGTATATATATATATATATATATATATATATATATATATATATATATATATATACACACACACACACATACATACTGCTGTGTGTGTGTGAGGGTGATGTGTGTAGGTGCTGTGTGTGTGTGTGTGTGGGCGCTCTGTGTGTGTGCAGGTGCTGTGTGTGTGAAGGTGCTGTGTGTGTGTGTGTATGAGAGCGCTGTGTGTGTAAGGGTGCTGTTAGTGTGTGCTGTGTGTGTATGTGTGAGGGTGCTGTGTGTGTAAGGGTGCTGTGTGTGCAGGTGCTGTGTGTGTGTGTGCAGGTGCTGTGTGTGTGAAGGCGCTGTGTGTGTGTGTGTGTGAAGGTGCTGTGTGTGTGTGTATGAGAGCTCTGTGTGTGTAAGGGTGCTGTTAGTGTGTGCTGTGTGAGGGTGCTGTGTGTGTAAGGGTGCTGTTAGTGTTATTGTATTAGAGTGTGCACCCTAAAGCAGAAACACACACGCCATGTATATATATATATATATATATATATATATACACACACACATACATACTGCTGTGTGTGTGTGAGGGTGATGTGTGTAGGTGCTGTGTGTGTGTGTGTGGGCGCTCTGTGTGTGTGCAGGTGCTGTGTGTGTGAAGGCGCTCTGTGTGTGTGTATGAGAGCGCTGTGTGTGTAAGGGTGCTGTTAGTGTGTGGTGTGTGTGTGTATGTGTGAGGGTGCTGTGTGTGTAAGGGTGCTGTTAGTGTGTGCTGTGTGTGTGGGGTGCTGTGTGTAAGGGTGCTGTGTGTGTAAGGGGGATGTTAGTGTGTGCTGTGTGTGTGTAAGGGTGCTGTGTGTGTGAGGGTGCTGTGTGTAAGGGTGCTGTTAGTGTGTGTATGTGTAAGGGTGCTGTGTGTGTGAGGGTGTTAGGGTGCTGTTAGTGTGTGCTGTGTGTGTGTAGAGGTGCTGTTAGTGTGTGTATGTGTAAGGGTGCTGTGTGTGTAAGGGTGCTGTTAGTGTGTGCTGTGTGCGGTGTGTGTGTGTAAGGGTGTTGTTAGTGTGAGGGTGCTGTTAGTGTGTGTGTGTAAGGGTATTGTTAATGTGAGGGTGCTGTGTGTGTAAGGGTGTTGTTAGTGTGAAGGTGCTGTTAGTGTGTTTGGGTGTTGTTAGTGTAAGGGTGATGTGTGTGCTGTTTGTGTGTGTGTGCTGTTTGTGGGTAATGTGTGGGGTGTGGGGGCCGTTTAGTTAATATCCCTCCTCCCTTCTTACCTTATGTAGGGAGGGGGGACCGTGCTGCTGCCATCCCTGGTGGTCCAGTGGAGAGTGAACTCTAGCCCCGACTGCGCGAGAGGAAGTTGGCGGGGCTGCTGGCAAGAGCTCCCCGGGTCCTCTCCTGTCTCCCTCCATGCCTGTGGGCTGATGAGGGAGATCTTTTATCTCCATCACCTGCTTACAGAGGGAGGCACATAGCGCGTGCCGCGGGGATTAGGGTGTGCCTAGGCACACCCAGCACACCCCGTGCGCACGCCTATGCCCACACCATTACTGACCCACTGCCAAACCGGTCATGCTGGAGGATGTTGCAGGCAGCAGAACATTTTCCACGGTGTCTCCAGACTCTGTCACGTCTGTCACATGTGCTCAGTGTGAACCTGCTTTCATCTGTGAAGAGCACAGGGCGCCAGTGACGAATTTGCCAATCTTGGTGTTGCCAAACATTCTGCACGGTGTAGGGCTGTAAGCACAAACCCCACCTGTGGTTGTCGGGCCCTCATACCACCCTCATGGAGTCTGTTTCTGACCATGCACATTTGTGGCCTGCTGGAGGTCATTTTGCAGGGCTCTGGCAGTGCTCCTCCTGTTCCTCCTTGCACAAAGGCGGAGGTAGCGGTCCTGCTGCTGGGTTCTTGCCCTCCTACGGCCTCCTCGATGTCTCCTGATGTACTGGCCTATCTCCTGGTAGCGCCTCCATGCTCTGGACACTACGCTGACTGACACAGCAAACCTTCTTGCCACAGCTCGCATTGATGTGCCATCCTGATGAGCTGCACTACCTTAGCCACTTGTGTGGGTTGTAGACTCCGTCTCATGCTACCACTAGAGTGAAAGCACCGCCAGCATTCAAAAGTGAATAAAAACATCAGCCAGGAAGCATAGTACCTGAGAAGTGGTCTGTGATCACCACCTGCAGAACCACTCCTTTATTGGGGGTGTCTTTCTAATTGTCTATAATTTCCACCTGTTGTGTATCCCATTTGCACAATAGTCACTCAGTGTTGCTTCCTAAGTGGACAGTTTGATTTCACTGAAGTGTGATTGACTTGGAGTTACATTGTGTTGTTTAAGTGTTCCCTTTATTTTTTTGAGCAGTGTATATATGTACATTAGGAATATATGGCCTGGGCCCCATGCACGTGTAACGGCTGGATCCCCTTATGGCAAGCCTGGTGCCAGGACTGAGCTAGATTGTGACATCAATTACTTAATCATTAATAAACTTTTAAATGACAACAGATCATCACACGTAAAAAGGTTAACACTAGTGTTAGGTGATTTTGCAATGTTTTATTCAGTTGTGTAATTTCCCAAGAAGTGAGGGTTGTCGGTTTAACTTGTCTCAGCAATGTTTTAAATATTTTTCAATCATTCTCCCAGATTCTCTTCCCCGGATCCTTTTGTGGTTATCCAGGTGTCTCCCGCATAACTTTCAGTTATCTCTTTGTAAATATTTTGTCATTAAACAGACGCTTTGTGGTCTAAAGACTGAGTCACTGCATTGGATGCTTCCTGGCCTTTTCTGAAGAGGGGAGATGGAAGATTTTGTTATTTCTTAAATTAGAGAATTTTTGGGCTGCATAAAGCGGAACTTTCATCATCTGGGGATTTTGGGATATTCACAAAGACCCCGCATGGTGGCATTGCCAGTGGGGGTTCGGTAGCTGGAGGGAGCAGTTAAAAGTGAGATTTACTTACCAGAACCTGTCCCTTACAGGCATCACCATATTCTTCCATCAGCTCCTCTTCAGCAGCCGATGTCACTGCATACTATTGCTCATCTATGGAAGAGGGGGGTGACAATGCCGCCCTAAAAGAAAAAAGTTTCTAAGTTTTGCTATATCAGTGTTATTATTATTACCCAATGGAATTTTATGGACATCAGAAATATTAAAGGCTCAGTATGTTCATCAATTTTAACGTGTAGCTGTCATAGTACACACATCCTGGTAAAAAAAAAAAAAAAAATGACATAAACTTATATTTATACATTGTGGCTGCAGAATTACTTGCAAATGTATAGATGAGCAAGAAATTAAAAGGTATGGTCCTTTCACCACCTGTCAATGAGTTGTTTGTACATAGTCCTCGTAGACCTCTATGTCAAGGATTGAGTGATAATGCAGGACAAGAGAACCCTCCTACAGGTGGTTCTCCTGCTCTCCAACACAGCAGTGGGTGAATATTGGAACAGAGTGACTGATGTAACTCTGTTTAGACACTGCTGCTCTGGCTATAAAGACAATGCATTGGCGTCACGGGGGATGATTGCTCTGCCCGGGGAAGTGCTCCCCAGCAGCGTCACATTAGAGGGGTAGGATGTAGATGGTAGCAGAGAGTGACCGCTGAATGTGCCACCACCAGCATCGCTGGAAGAGAGTCAAGGATTACTTACATTTTTTTTTCTTGTAATTTAAGTATTTATCATTATGATAAATGATAAATTCAGTGCATTAAAGGAACACCCAGGGCACCATAACAAAATAATTGTTGTAGTGCCAGGAGGTCCCTGGCACTGGCTTATCTTATCGGGTTAAAACGTTTAAGAATGGTTTAACCCCAAAGTCTGTGTTCCAGCACCAAATCTCCTTGCCTCTCTGTTCCGTTTTCTTAAAATCTTTAAACCTGTAAGTTCATGCAGAATCAGGCAGCTCTTAGCCTATCATTGACTCCCTATTTAGAAAAACTAGCTTGAAAAAGATAAGTTTCTTTTAAAGAATTAAAAAAACAAAAAACGGAAGGACCTCCAGGCACCATAACAAGTTAATTTTGATGAAGTTGTTATGGTGCCCAAACCGGTCCTTTAAGAAATTTTTGCACATTTCATCTTTGCTTACCCTTATGACAAATTAGATTTTTTGTGACTTTAAAAAATTTATACAGTTTTGTGTTTTCCACTCATCGATCTGTAAAATGATATTGTCCTCTGCAGCTCTGTCGGATGACGATGATGTGAAGACCCTGCTTAATGGCTCCATGCTCTGGAAGATAAAGGCAGGGTGGCGCCAGCAGAGACTTTACCGCCTGGAATCTGACGGAATGACGATCTGGTACCAAAGCCGTAGAAAACGGGCACGTTCCAAACAGATCTGTGAGTATGAGTGGGATGCCATTATATGTAATCACAGTTCATTTTCTAGACTTAATTCTCCTGCCAAAACTTTTCAGAAGCTATCTGGATTTTTGCAGTAAATTTAAACACATAAGTCAACATTTAAGATTCTTCTTTTTTTTTTTTTTTTTATTCTTTTTTTTTCTCGTTGTGCAATATCCGACAATGTAGCCTCCATAGCCCCAACAGCTTATGCAGGCACAATAATAACACTTTTGTACATTTTCGTGGCATTGATTGCTTTAACTCAAATTTTACAGATAGTTATATTCGAACCATTTAACATGTTCAATTGTATGATGCAATATAAATGTACATATAAGTATGCCACCTTAACATATGCCTAAGCTATCTCTACATAACAGTCGTCCTGTAAGTTGGGCTAAAGTATGTTCTGCACATTTTTGGGATGTATTAGGCTGGTTGGTCATAGCGCATATATTGTCTGTGCCGCTAGTGAGGGTTGTGGGCAGTAATTTTACACTCGCACAGGCGATTAGCTTATGGACTCACGGCCCGTTGCGTGACATTGAGTGTGTTAGATTTGGCGTTAGTCTGGGTGTCCGTGGTTCGTCGTTGTGTAATCGAGTCGTATTTTGGAGTTTGGTTGTCTGTGTGACCCCAGGTCTTAGCTTGTTTTGTCTGCTGATAGGGGTTTTTAATATGCCTTGGAGCTAGTATTGTAACTAGGGTAAGTGCTCCGTGGGTTACTATGCCCTTTAACCCCAGGGCATTGGGGGGGGGGGGAGAGGTCTAATCTATGTACGGGGCATTCGTCTCGTCTTTTCGGGGCGTGTTGGCCTTGGCAGACCGGTAAGGTTAGGTCTAGGCTGTAAGTATTATAAAATAACCTGGTATAACAACAAGAATGCAATCTAAACTAATGACATGTTAACTTAAATCTGGGCATATAGTCGCCACCGGTTTCAAGGTACAGTCCCAGGGTATTCAGCAGGAATGTCCGTGGCAACCCTGGGTATTCCCAGTGTGGCCATTAGGGCTGGAGTGTCCCCCAAGGAGGAAATCTTACAGTGGTTGTCGCCTTTGGTAACCCATAGCGTTCTTGGAGTCGCCCATCGGTATGCGATGTCTGCTGTTTGTAGGGTGGACGTGACTGGCTGCAGGCTCTTTCGCCACAATAAGGTATCTCTGCTTAAGTCCTGGAAAAATGTAAGTTTGTGTGTTTCGAAGTCATGCAGTGATTTCCCTTTGACTGCTGTCATCAGAGCAATTTTGTCCGTGAGGGACTGGCATCTCAGGATAATGTCTCGAGGGGCTGCTTGTGGTGCTAGTCGAGATTTAGCGATGCGATATACGCCATCAAATGTAACATGTTTTGCTTGCTTATTTGGAAGGAGAGAGGCCACCAAGCGCCTTATGTAGTGGGGCAATTCGTCCAGTGGTACCTCTTCAGCACCTCGTATTTTGATATTCTTTCTTTTGCCCCTGTCCTCTAGTACATATATTTGTCTATTAACATTAGCCTGTGCCTTTTGCAGCTGAGTGACTGTGTCTTTTAGGGAGGTGAGGTCCTGGCGCAGATCTCTCACCTCTTGTTCTGCAGCGTGGGTGCGGGCCGACACCGCTTGTACTTCTGTTGCTAGTCCTTTTAGGTCAACCTGCCACATAAGCAGGAGATTTCGCTGGAGGCCAGTCAGCATGAAATGCATATCCTGTTTTGTGGCCGGAGTTAACTCTTCGGCAGGTTGCATGTTCGCGCTGTCAGTGGCGACCTGGGCTGTGCTGTGTGTAGAGTCACCATTCTCTGACCGCTCGGGTGAGTGGCGGTTCGACATCCCAAGAATATTGCTGAACTGAAACAGTTCTGCAAAGAGTAATGGTCAAGAATTACTCCTGACCGTTGTGCACGTCTGATCTGCAACTACAGGAAACGTTTGGTTGAAGTTATTGCTGCCAAAGGAGGTTCAACCAGTTATTAAATCCAAGGATTCACATACTTTTTCCACCTGCACTGTGAATGTTTACATGGTGTGTTCAATAAAAACATGGCAACATTTCATTCTTTGTGTGTTATTAGTTTAAGCAGACTGGCATTGTCTATTGTTGTGACTTAGATGATGATTAGATCACATTTTATGACCAATTTGTGCAGAAATCCATATCATACCAAAGGGTTCACATACTTTTTCTTGCAACTGTATATATTATATATATACGTGTGTAATTTAATTATAAGTGTATTTTTATATTAATATAAGTACATATTAATATAAAAATACACTTAGTATGACATTATATATATATGTATATATATATGATATATAGACATATATTATATAGATATAATATATGTCCATATTTCACACACACACATATATATATATATATATATATATATATATACAAAAAATATATATGAATACCGCACTCAATGTTGTAAAATAATCAACCGTAGATAAAAAAGTACTGTAATTGAATTTATTATTTTCAATTCCTAGATGTCTAGGTATATAACTTAATATGTGAGATTATAATTTAATCAAATGAATATATTACATCATATAGTCAATCGCTATTTACAAAAATAACCTCCATAGGTGTTATATAGATAAATAATTGATATATAAACACAGTTGTGAGGATTCCTGTTTGCAAATCTAAGGAAAACCTATCCATATGGATAATAGTTGAATCTGTGGTGTTCTATGTACATAGAAAAAAGAAAAAAGAAAAAATGAAAAAAATGAAAAATGAAAGAAATATGAAAAATAATGAAAAATTGAAAAAACATAAAAGAGAAAAAAATAAAAATAAAAAGTGTACAGATAGTAAATGTCCTGATGTACAATAGTCCAGAGAATAGTGCACTTTATATAGTAAATAGGTGGATCTCACCAAGTTGAATATCCAGATGGATTGTAGCCTTAGTAGCAACTGGAAAAAATGAAGACTCTGTGAAGTGTCTATTGAAGGATTTTAAACTGCTGAATTCCTGCTGTGCGCTGAAAAAAGGACTCAATAAAGGTGTCAGATGTGGTCCTCATATGTCTCCCTCAAAGTTGTTGCTGCTGTGTATCAAATCGGAGTTGTCCGCAATGAAAGTGTCGTCACAGTACATGGGCTGCGCGCTCGGGACATCCACGTCCCTTCGAAGGCCCCTGCAATCTGTTGGAAAAATAAAATCATTTATATATCCTAACTTTGGCGGCAAAATCTTGCCGTGACCTGTAGTACTCCCCCACTTCCGGGTTTCGGCGGCTGTGTGCGTGCGTATTTGCGTCATCACATTCAAATGTATCTTTATTGTCCATATAAAACTGCACGCGAACAACGGGTGTAAATGAACAGTCAATGCTTGATAGGAAAAATCCGTAATGAGGAGGACCCTAAATTAATATTATTAATAACCATAATATATTTTTATTAGACTGTGACAAACCATGGATAATAAATAGTTAATTGTTTAACAAGAGATATAATAATCAATAAGCTTAGATAAGAAGTAGCCCCACCTGGGGGAAAAAGAGTCCGTCGCTCTGGATCGCTGTCCTACGACCCATCTGGGTCCGCCACCTGTGTTTACAGCAGGGTCCCTCACATGCACAGCCCAGGATCACTGAGAGTTATTACATGACCGGTGAGTTACATGTGTAGAGCGTTGTATGTAGATATATGTAAATATATTTTTTCTTTATTTTTTCTATGTTTTCATTATTTTTTCTATGTTTTTCTATTTTTCTATTTTTTTCTAGATTTTTTCTATTTTTCCAGTTTTTTATAAACTTTTTCTCCATTTTTTTCTCCATTTCTCCAATTATTTTTTCTAATTTAAATATTTTTCCTATTTAAATATATTTTTTTCTAATTTAAAAATTGTCTCTTTAAATCATTTGATACAAGATGAATCTTATTATCCATATACATAGGTCTATAGGTTCCTTTACATTAGCAGCCAAGATATCTTAATATGAGCATTTATATATTGTCCCCAGTAGGAATATACCTTTCTATGCTGTTTTTTACTTTGGCACTGTTTAGTCAGCAGTACTTTCAAGCATTATGAGGATATAGATTTATTATAGATATATCATTCAATTTATTTATGACTCTTTTTCCCCCAGGTGGGGCTACTTCTTATCTAAGCTTATTGATTATTATATCTCTTGTTAAACAATTAACTATTTATTATCCATGGTTTGTCACAGTCTAATAAAAATATATTATGGTTATTAATAATATTAATTTAGGGTCCTCCTCATTACGGATTTTTCCTATCAAGCATTGACTGTTCATTTACACCCGTTGTTCGCGTGCAGTTTTATATGGACAATAAAGATACATTTGAATGTGATGACGCAAATACGCACGCACACAGCCGCCGAAACCCGGAAGTGGGGGAGTACTACAGGTCACGGCAAGATTTTGCCGCCAAAGTTAGGATATATAAATGATTTTATTTTTCCAACAGATTGCAGGGGCCTTCGAAGGGACGTGGATGTCCCGAGCGCGCAGCCCATGTACTGTGACGACACTTTCATTGCGGACAACTCCGATTTGATACACAGCAGCAACAACTTTGAGGGAGACATATGAGGACCACATCTGACACCTTTATTGAGTCCTTTTTTCAGCGCACAGCAGGAATTCAGCAGTTTAAAATCCTTCAATAGACACTTCACAGAGTCTTCATTTTTTCCAGTTGCTACTAAGGCTACAATCCATCTGGATATTCAACTTGGTGAGATCCACCTATTTATTATATAAAGTGCACTATTCTCTGGACTATTGTACATCAGGACATTTACTATCTGTACACTTTTTATTTTTATTTTTTTCTCTTTTATATTTTTTTCAATTTTTCATTATTCTTCATATTTCTTTCATTTTTCATTTTTTTCATTTTTTCTTTTTTCTTTTTTCTATGTACATAGAACACCACAGATTCAACTATTATACATATGGATAGGTTTTCCTTAGATTTGCAAACAGGAATCCTCACAACTGTGTTTATATATCAATTATTTATCTATATAACACCTATGGAGGTTATTTTTGTAAATAGCGATTGACTATATGATGTAATATATTCATTTGATTAAATTATAATCTCACATATTAAGTTATATACCTAGACATCTAGGAATTGAAAATAATAAATTCAATTACAGTACTTTTTTATCTACGGTTGATTATTTTACAACATTGAGTGCGGTATTCATATATATTTTTTGTATGATATTTATGGGGCTTTTTTAGGGATAACCTCGAATACCAGCACCACCTATGTGATTGAGTGCCAGCATAAATTATCTTTTTGTATATATATATACACATAAAAAAAGTTTTAATTAACATAAACTTGTAATTTTTTTAATGATTTTACACTAGCAGGGAGACTGCCTGTCAGTACAGACAGTCCCCCTGCAGGCAGACACATGGACACCTATTGTGACCATGTGACCCCCAGGGGTCCTAATACGCCATGAGGAGACTGTCTGGACTGCAGTCTCCCCACACCGGGAGCACCGCCGATCGCCGCCAGGGGAACAACGGCGATCGGGTAAGTACATAAAACCGTTAGGACGGTTTAGGACCGTAAGCTGTCGGCAATGCAAAAATGCCGATGACGGTCCTGAACCGTCCTAGGTCTTTAAGGGGTTAAACTACAATAAATCTGTGTAAATAAGACAGATTGTTCTTGTTCCATTTTTACATTTTAGTTGCATAAATTATTATTAATAAGTTACCTAACATTTCTCAGAACAGCATAGTCCGTGGCCACATCCCCATTCACACCCCTAAAATTAGAGTGTACCTTTTGTTCCCTTTTAAAATGCTGGGAGGTATGCATGCAGTGTTTTCAATTTACATAAGCAGCCAAAAACCGAGCATTTACTTAGACCTTCAGCGATTTTTACAAAGGTCTAACGTTGCCCAGTGTGTTGTGGTGGTGATTAATGTGATCTTAAGATTGTCTGCAAGGCTTGCCTACTTTTCAAAATATTCCCAAACTGTCCTATTTTGCGAATATGTTAAATAGAACCAACTTAAAATGTTGCAAATGTTTTATACTCCTGAATGACTGGTTGAGAGATGTCTGATTTAGACATCCTGATATACAGTAACTGGATTAATTTATGCTAGAAGTTAACTGTTTATTTAAAAGTACACAAGGTCGTGAGGTGTAAAAAGGTGCACAATGTCTGTATTCTTCTACTCTTAGCGTCAATGGACATGCTTCTTTAGTTTAGCTTCTACAACCATATTTCCGTGCCACTTGGAATAGCTGGAGAAATTCCTGTATTTTTTGTTTTTTAATCCAATCTCAATTTTTTTTGTGGTATCGGAAGATTCTCAGTGTAGATGTGTATGGTCTTGGAGGGAATGGAAAGGTTCCGTAGTTTTGGATTGAATGGATATGGTGAATAGTTCAATTAGCTGGGTGAATAGGGAGATTCTCCACGCAAATATGGTTTCACGAGAATGGCTGATTTTATTCCACTTGCTGTTCACCATTATAAATTCATTCTCTATCCTGTCATGTGCCATTTGTCTCTTTTTTTTCCCCTTCTGCTTTCTCCTTGTACAATGTCTCCTCCTGTTCCCTCATAATTCCTGACTGTTCTTTCATTAGTTTCCATCCTTCACATCGAGTCTATCCGTGAAGGACGTCAGTCCGAGGGACTCCGTAGGAATGGCCAACGCTTCCCAGAGAGTTCCTGTTTCAGTATTGCTTTTATGGGAAGAAGAAAGAACCTTGACCTGGCTGCAGCGACCGAAAATGAGGCACGAAGTTGGGTACAGGGACTGAGGAAACTTATACAGAGAGCCGAGGCAATGAGCCAGCGAGAGAAATTAGTACAATATCCTTTTTTTACTTCATGCGCGATGAAACTAGCAGCTTAACTTGCTGCAGGTGGCGATTTAAGCAGAACAGAATGATCATAATGTGTGGAGCGAAATAGAATTCTGTACAATTGCCTAACCTCTACACTATAGAGTCTATGGTATTACAAATGAAATCTATACTGTTAAAGCTGTGAACATGCCATACTTGTTCTGAGCATAACATGGTCTGGTTCTCTAAATGGTGGACCATGCTATGGGTAAATTGATTGCAGGTGGAGTATGGGACACATTTAAAGGGACACTCTAGCTTGCTGAAATGCTTTATGTGTGAAAAATGTGTCCTTTTTTTAATTTTACAAAAAGTGCAGATTTCAATAGAAATTTACACTTTTAGAATTTAACCTGGTTACATCCTCTGGCTTTCAAACGGACAACAACTCCTGCTGCTTCCTGGTTTGGTTAGCTCAGTAGAGCTAAATTCAAGAGGCAGCAATTGGTCAAAGAACCTGCCTTGCAAAGACATCTCATTGAGCTGCATTGGGAAGTCTGTGATTGGACAGACACAGAAGGAAAGGGAGGGCTTGTAAAGGCTGCAGACAAAAGATCTGCAGCTTTTGCAAACTGTTTTTAGGTATACTCCCAATTAAAAAAAATGCATAATTAAATGCATGCAAGTTTGCAGTGATGTGCAACTTTTACGGGATAGGAGTTCTTCCTTGTGTGCCCGCAGCTGTCCATTAAAGGGACTCTCTAAGCACCAAAACAACTTTTGCTTAATGAAGCAGTTTTGGTGTATAGATCATACCCCTGCAGTTTCACTGCTTAATTCTGTCATATAGGAATTAAATAACTTTTGTTTCTGTTTATGCAGCCCTGGCTGTGACTGACAGTCTGCATAAAAAATTGTTTATTTTTAAGCATAGTATATTTGCTTTAGAAGTGTTTGTCTCCTGCACTTTTAATTAAACTTTAATCACACACAGGAAGCTCCTGCAGGCTTTAGCAGGCTATTAACGGAAAAGAAGAAGTCAGTAGGATAGATGTCAGTCTGACTGCGGTTGATACGAACTGTCCTTATCAAGTTTTATATTTTCCTTGACTTCCCTGAATTTGGATCCGGGATTATCTCCATCAAGCAGATAGAGATGGTGACGAAAAGATGACGTTTCAAGAGGTGAAGGACATGCTGCAGATGATAAATATTGAAATGAACGATATGTATGCATACACTTTGTTTAAGGTGAGTCCCCTAAAGTCTCATTATAAGCCAGAGAGGGGGAGGTTCATTTAAGTGATGTCTCTAATCTGTTCATATTTATTTACATTTTTCTAAAAATTGTCGACTTTTCTCTGCCGAAATTCGACCATTTTTCGTGGAAGAGTCAGTTTCAGAAAAACAGCATCAAATTTAGAATGGTGGGAAAAAAATAAGTGAAACTGAACACTTTTCTGGTGGAGAAAAAGTGAGGGAAATATTGATAAATCGATAGCTTCACTAAAAGGCATAATTTCGAAATGAGGGTTAGGGGCACAAAAGAAGCAACAGACAATACTGGTGAATGTAATAAATAGAGTTTAAAAAAAGTAACAGGACAGACTTTAACTTTCTTGGGGTTGTCATAAAAAAAATTGTATTGCAATATTGTCGAAAGCTTGTTAGCCTGCACAGGGTATATAGAACAGGTTTGGTTCTATTTAGACTGTTTAGCAAATGTTTCATAATTCACGGTTGCCCGATAGGTAGATCTCCAGATGTTGTAGAACTACAACTCCCATGATGCTTTGCATGCGTCGAGAATTCCTTTAGAATGACAAAGCATCATGGAAGCTGTAGTTTTAAAACATCTGGGAATCTACCTGTTGAGCGCCTCTGCCATAAACATATTACTATATCTCACATACTATGTTAATGTTTAGGTGATAAATTCCACCGAAAAACAAAATGTTTGGTGATAAACCCCCACCAAAAAGTGAGTGGTACTCTATGTACTCCACCTTCATAATATTTTCGATTACTATATGTTTTACTTGTATTTATGAGACTTTACAATGTTGCACTATTTATTTAATTTTTTTGTTTTATTTCATTTCCAGCTCATTTGCTGGACCTGTCTATAGGATTCTTATGCAAGTATTGATGTGTGTTTGCTGTTATCACACCATATACTTGGGCAGCACTTTTCACGCACTACACCACTTTGTGATTAGGATATGTAATGGTGAAATTATTTATATATTAATCTAGTGCAGACATAAGCAACGGTTGGCACTCCAGATGCTTTGGACTACACCTCACATGGTGCTTTGCCAGCATTATGGGTGTAAGAGCATTATGGGGGATGTAGTCTACAATATCTGGAGTGCCGAAGGTTGCCTATCCCTGATCTTGTGGATTGATAGCAATTATTTTCCTGGTGTATGCTTTTGAGGATTGCTGTCATCACATACAGCACTTTAAGTAGAACTTTTCATGCACTGTACCACTTTATAATTGGTTGCATTTTTTTTATGAGATATGTCATTTTGGCACGTTGTTATATATTATAAGTGGCTAAATATTGGATGTGCACCATTTTCATGTATTATGTTAAATGGACACTATAGTCACCTGAACAACTTTAGCTTAATGAAGCAGTTTTGGTGTATAGATCGTGCCCCTGCAGTTTCACTGCTCAGATCTCTGCCATTTAGAATTTAAATCACTTTGTTTGCAGCCCTAGTCACACCTCCATGCATTTGACTTACACAGCCTTCCTAAGCACTTCCTGCAAAGAGTCATCTAATGTTTACACTTCCTTTATTGGAAATTCTGTTTAATTCTAAATCTCTTAACTCCTGCTTTGTTAATAGCTTGCTAGACACTGCAGGAGACTCCTGTGTGTGATTAAAGTTCAATTTACAGAACAGGAGATAAAAACTTTTAAAGTAAGCTACTTTCTGATTGAAAGTGAAGCCATTTTTTTATGTAGGCTACGTCATTCACAGCCAGGAGAGGTGTGGCTAGGGCTGCATGAACAGAAACAAAAGTGATTTAACTCCTAAATTGCTGAGAATTGAGCAGTGAGACTCCAGAGGTTGTTTTGGTAACTATAGTGTCCCTTTAATGTTTAGGTCATTAATCCCAACAAAAATGCTAAAAGTGTGAGTGAAGTGCTGTGAGATAAAATGGCACTTACCCCTTAAATACATCTGGGTACCATGAATTTATGTAAAAAACAAAAACAAATAATTGTGCAATTTTTTTAAATTTTTTTTTTTAATTCTTTATTTTTGTTAGTGCATGAAATTACATTCTGGCTTGCTACGCCACAATAGCTGTAGGAAACCTTTGAATATCAGTATAAAACATAGCATGGAAAATACTGTGCACATTTTTTAAAGGTAAAATGAAAATAAACAAGCTTATCAGGTATTTTAGGTAGGAAAGGATACAAGCTTCTTTAAGCAGTATAGAGTAAAGTTCATGCTGAAGGTACGTTAGGTAAATTAAGGATTAACGTTGCCATTGGAACTGGCTTAGGCATAGGGTGTCACAGGCAGGGTCATGCCAAACGCAATGACAAGGTACGTAGTATACACATTTATGCAGCCTAGGACAATCTACAGTACAGCACATTTTTAGTAAGGAAAGATTTTGTGTTCCAGAGTGGTACATGAAGGCTGAAAGACATTTTAGCATATAAGCATGAGTAAGAGCTTGTAACTTTCGGATGTCATAAGAGAACCATTGAACTTATTATGATACTGAACCTGCTAGGCACATAAGAAATCTCTGACTACAGAACATCGCTAACTGGTAGATATTTCACTAACACGGTGTGTAGAAAGTAAGTAATTATCTCTGACTAAAGGAACCACCATAAAAATAAGAAGGCTGGTTTTGTGCTGAGGGGAGTTGTTATCAGGGTGTAGAGATGCACATTATAGGTGCTGTGTCCGTGTGGAATCCATCCCTTATGCCACCTGGGTGAGCGTAGGCATGAGTCCCTCATTGTGGGCAGAGTAGAAGCAAAAAGAAAAGTGAAAGAAGAGGTAGAGATGGAGATGGAGCGCAGGAGGAGGAAGCTGAACGGTTACCATGCTTTGCGCTCTGTGTGCGTTGTTGAGGGGCCATATGTAAGATGATGGTTCCTGTGTTCAGTCTCTCGTTCAGCCAATGCCCCGCTGGGGTGCTCCACATTCCAGCCGGGAGAGTCTCATTGTCAGGCTCAGACGCCCTCGATCTGCTGGTATGTTGTTGGAGTGGGGCAGACATGTTGTGGTTTGCAGGGTCAGTCCGAGTGGTCCTGACCTCCGCGGTACGTTGTGAGGCAGGCTCTTCGGGTTAGCCGGGTATGGAGGTGCCAGGTTGCTAAGAGTAGGGTAAGCCGTAGGTCTCTGTTGGTGTTGGCTGGGTTTAAGTGGGTTTGAAGAGTGCTTGCGGTGGTGCTTAGCCGTCGATAGGTTTCGTACTTTTCCCGGTTGGGACTGTGCTTCAGGGCGGATGCTGGACAGTGCCGGGCGGATTCTTCGGCGCCTTGTTTGTTTATGTGTCCTCCGTTTCTTCTTATTTAGTGGCAATGCTGCACCACAGTTTCGCCCGTGAGTCGCAGGCTGCCCAGTTGTGAGCGGCACGGTTGGGTCTGGCTGGGCTCCAGCAGGCTTGTGCCGGCATGCGGCTATTGTGGCCCAGAAGTTTTCAAATAAGGCATCAAGCCTCTCCTGCAGAGTCAGTCGGATGGGTTGAGGCAGTAAGATGTACGAGGTGTGCGCCATCTTGGTCTTGGTGGGTGGGTAGTCTCGAGTGTATAGTGGCAGGAATTTCATGATTTTGCCACCGTTGAAAGTTGCCGGGATAACCCCCACCGGCTCGGGGGGGGGTTGCAGGCTGGTCTTCCCGGGTAAGTGCTTGATAGCAGGCTGAGGGATCGGCCGCCTCCCTCTCGCGCGCTGCTACTAGGCCTCTTGTAGGCCGCGGACTCTCCTCCGGTGTTATCCACCGGTCACGGCTGGAAGCACCGCTAGTATGGGAGCTAGGGATGTCTCCCGATATTGTAGTGTAGAGGGCTGTAAGTTTTGGGTCGCAGGGTTGTATTTATCGGTTATTTAGGAGCCAGATTGTGCGGAGCTCTCAGTGTGTACGACCATTCTGTGCGGCTGCCAGGCTCCGCCCCCAATTGTGCAATTTTGAATAAAATATATATGTATCTCTGTGCTCTATCGCCTCTCCTACACATGAAACATCCTTCAAATTGCTATCTTGGTGGTACCGTAACCCAGAGAAGAGCATATAAACCAGGAGAAACAGGGCAATGCTGGAGATGCCTGCAACAAAGGGGCAGATTCCTACACATGTGGTGGAAGTGCCCTAAGATCTCTCAGTTTTAGTCCCAAATTCACACCATATAAGAAGTACTGTGGTCTTGATTGTTTCTCGTAATACTACCTGGAAGTGACGTATTGTTACTATTTTGAGAACCTCTGAAGCATCACGGACTTTGTCATATGCTGCAAAACCCCAAAATGTCATATCAAGCACATGGACTTCAGAATCGAGGGAAGGACAACGCCTCCGCCTACAGCAAACACTTCCGATTGGCCTACTATATCATGGAGTTAATAAGGGGTTGTCAACCTTTCAACTTTAAATAGGAGTACCCAGGATCAGAAATGTACTGATTGTAAAAGATTACACGGTGAAACATGTCTTGGTGAAACATGTTTTTAATTGTTTTTATTTTACTTACAAAATATTTACTTATATTACATTTACCTGCTGATTCCTTCTATATACTGAATCCTGAGTTTGCAAACAAGGGCAGTATCACCTTATTTCTCGCACCATATCTACAATACATGCAGTCCGTAATTAATGGTCTCCAATTTAAGGTAAGCATACAGCTTTGGAATATCACACATATCACTGTTTTTTTGTCTTTTTCTCTGATCATTGCTGGAGGAACACACCATAAAGCTGTACAAAGAAGGCACTGTTGCTGCATTAAAGGCACAGAATCCCTTACGTTTAGAGCCTGTCTCCAAAAAGGCTCCCCCATATGTGAGTCTCCATTACTCACCATCATTGTTCACAATACAGTTATATACATATATATATTTCATGCCCAATTATATGCGTCTGATTTTTACACAAATTCATGGTTCCTCAGTGTATTTAAGGGGTAAGTTCTGTTTTATTTAACAGCGCTTCGCTCACACCTTTTGATCGTATTTGGCATATTTTTTATTTTTGTGGAAATTTACTGAGTATCCACGCAGTGTCATAGCTGCTATAAATTTATTACCATTGATAATTTGTTAAGCAACTTTAATTTCACATCTATTTTATTTTGTTATATAAATGTATCTTTTCAGCATACACTTCCAAAACTCTACTAGATGTGTCATTTTTTTTCATGTTTCTATCGGTGATCTTGCAATCTACAACTTAAGCAGGTGCTATATTCATACACAGAAGTTTAAAACCCACCCCTGGCAGATGCCTCTTCCTGCTGTTAACTTGGCAGGAGAAGGGCAGCTAAATTTAGGTTGGACGTGTGGCACTTACCCAGTCATGATACATAACACAAGTCATTGCTGTGGAGAATTGAACTGCATAGTGTTGCTCAGAGACGTAGAGACCATTGCTGAACATATGCTTCCTTTAAGATCTTTGAGTCTAGTGCAATGCACACTTTTTTTTAATGTCGATATCCTGATCATAGACTAGGAGGGATTGATAGGTAAGGGAGAGTAGATAAGCTAGCATATGAATCAAATATTATCAAGTGTCTAGTATACAGTTCCTATGACTTCTTCTCCCAACGTTGCATCTCAATCGTCAAAGGCTCCCAATGGTCCATGACTTGTGGCCTTCACAGTTCTGTTCTGAAGGGAATATTCATAAAACGTAGCGTTGAGAACCCTTGGCATTAAGAGCCATTTCTAAGATTAATCCTTGAAGGGTTTTAGTTGGCTCCCATTCTGTCTCAACTTCCTGCAGGGCTAATTGTATCTTAATGTAAACTATATATATATATATATATATATATATATATATATATATATATAACCCTCAACCCCCTTGTATGCTTTCGAAAAGATTTCTCCAAAGAAAAATGTGGACAACACAGAACAAAGAGATCTTCAAGTCAGAAATTGTCAGGATGAGGCTGTGGCCCAACACACAGAATTAAGTAAAAGTGATAAACGTATTACCGGGCCTTAGAATGGTCAGATTTAACATAGAAAAAATAGTCAGAAACAAGCCGACGTCATGGATACAGACAGGAGCATAAACAAAAAACCAAAGCCAAAGGGTCAGGGATACCAGATATATGGATAGTCAGAACAAGCCAAGATCAAAAACCAGGATAACAATGTACCAAATGCGTTCTCGGATAATCAAAGTACTGGAAACCACGACAGGGCACTGAACACTAGCAGGTTTGGGTTTAAATAACCTCCAAAGCCTGCTCATTGGTTAAAAAGGGACCTATAACACTAAACGTGCGTGTGCGTCAAAAACGGAACGCCGCACGCACGTTTACGTCACTTATGACGTTTTTGGGGCGGTGCTATTTAGTTAGCCATAACGTTGGACCCGGCCGCTACACCCGATGCCGTTAGAAGGAGTGGCGCTGTAGATTAGGTGAGTAACCTCTCCTTCATGCAGCATGGCCGCACTGATCGGGCGCTTCCACATGGCGTCGATCAGGCACCGCGTGAGCGTACCGATCAGGTGCAGCCATGCGGCGCCTATCGGGCACCGTGTGAGTGCAAAGATCAAGTGCAGCCACATGGTGCCAACCGGGCACCGTGACAGAAATAAGGTAGTAAAAGGTTTTGTCAGACTTTTGCATATTCCATGGAATGCCACAAATCAATCTCTAATATATTGTAGTGGATTTAGATAACTATTGAAGAGGTCCCAGTTAAGAGAAAGATTTTGTAGAGGAGAACAGCTGACAGTCTACTGGTTCTTTCATTTTTTATTGTCTTGTGCTTCTGTTATTTTTAAGCCCCTAATTAAAGGACAACTGTCACCTCAAAAATCTTTTATTTTTAGATGTAATAATCTTTTAATCTAGTATTGAAAGAAACTCAATTACTTAAATGTTTTTTTTTTATTACTTATTTGTAAAAGAAAATTTAGAAAAACTCATCCCTACTTTTAGTTTTTTTGCATTTTTTTTACATATACTTTTTTTTGAAATATATTTTCTTTCTGTGCTTGAAAAGCTTATTGTATTAAAAAAGGTTTTTTTTCTGAGATGACTGGTGTCCTCAAACAAGCAATTGTCCATGTATGAAAAGCGTGAAATTTGTTAAAATGTCGAACACGCAGTTGTTTCATCATCACATAAGGCAACCACTTTTACGTCTCCTACTTTGTGTTTTGTCAATATTTAGACAACCCAATAGCAAATCTTCAGAACACTTCTTGATTAGTGCTCATTGGATGGCACTGTATAAATACGGTTGTACCTACTTATAGATAATACCTTCTGTGTCTCCAGAAATGTGACCGCTCTAACACAGACACCCTGGAGGACTGTGAGATTGAAGAATTCTGTACTCAGCTGATGCACAGGTCAGAACTTGAGGAGATATTTTTCCAATACTCTGGAGAAGACCGGGTATTGTCCACAGAGGAACTACAGGAATTCCTGCATCACCAAGGGGAAGAGGCCACTCTGGAAAGAGCTAAAGAAATCATCTATAAGTATGAACTCAACGAGAAAGGTACAAGGGTTATGCATGTGTGGATGTTAGTTTATATACAGTTTAAAAATAAGTAAAGGCAACTTCATGCCATAAGATATACCAGGTTAGGTCACCTTTGGCACTCCAGATGTTGTGGACTATATCTTCCTAATGCTCCTTCAGCCATAACGCTATACAATTAAAATGGGGTCCTGGTTTAGCTGCGCAGGTCTAACGAAACCTTAGCGGTACAATGCGTTATATATTTTTATAGTGCATTCAGTCTAGTCGCTGGCTTATCTAACTAATCTAGGACACATGTTTTGCCGGGCTGTGTAACCAGGGCCGTCTTTAGCGCGGGGCAAACGGGGCAGCTGCCCCGGGCCCAGTTGCTCCTGGGGGGCCCCAGAGCAGCTGCCCCGTGGGCCCCGCGATTTCAGCAGCCCCCATGTACCCGGCGGCCGGCGGTGCAGCCGTACCCGGCGGCCGGCGGTGCAGCCGCACCGGCCCGCCAACTAAGGAGGCCCCCGGGTGGCCCATGCACTAAGGGCCACCCTGTGGGCATGTGGCAGAAGGGGCCCGGTCGGGCGCTGTGACGCTTAAACAGCGCGACCGGGCCCCTTCCTGTACCGGCTGGGAGGAAGTGAGTACCGCGTGTCACTTCCTCCCACCGGAGATAGCCGCGCGGGAGGAGGAAGGCAGGGAGGAGAGGAGTTCCAGAGAAGAACTCCCATCTGCCTCAGCCTGCCACTGGACCCCAGGGAAACCACCCTCCATAAAAAGGTAAGAACCTGGAGGGTGGCTAAATGTATGTCAGTGTGTGTGTGTGTGTGTGTGTTAGTATGTCTGTGTGTGTGTGTGTGTGTTAGTATGTCTGTGTGTGTGTGTGTTTGTTAGTATGCCTGTGTGTGTGTTAGTATGTCTGTGTGTGTGTTAGTATGTCTGTGTGTGTGTGTTAGTATGTGTGTGTGTGTTAGTATGTGTGTGTGTGTGTGTTAGTATGTCTGTGTGTGTTAGTATGTCTGTGTGTGTTAGTATGCCTGTGTGTGTTAGTATGTCTGTATGTGTTAGTATGTCTGTATGTGTGTGTGTTTTAGTATGTGTGTGTGTTAGTATGTGTGTGTTAGTATGTTTGTGTCAGTATGTCTGTTTGTGTATGTATGTCAGTATGTCTGTGTGTGTCTATGACAGACATACTGACATACACACACAGACACACTGACATACACACACAGACACACTGACACATACACACTGACATACACACACACTGACACACACCACACAGACATACTAACACACACAGACATACTGTGTGTATGTCTGTGTGTTTGTATGTCAGTATGTCTGTGTGTGTATGTCAGTATGTCTCACTGTGTTTCAGTGTGTGTGTGTGTGTATGTCAGTATGTCTGTGTATGTCAATACGCCTGTCAGTGTATGTCTGTGTGTGTCTGTGTCAATATATCTGTCAGTGTATGTGTCTGTGAATATGTATGTGTCTGTGTGTGTATCAGTATGTCTGAATGTGTGTCAATGTTTGCCAGTATATATTTTTGTGTCAGTGTATGTGTGTGTCAGTATGTATCTGCGAATGTTTTAATGTGTCTTTCTGTGTTTGTATGTGTCAGTATGTCTGTCAGTGTGATTGCGGGTTGGGCGTAATGGGGAGGGAGGGTGCAGTGACAGGGCCCAGGGGGCCCAAGAAAAGGCTTTGCCCGGGGTCCTATTCATATTATAGACGGCCCTGAGTGTAACATTGGCATATTATTATTATTATTATTATGTATTTATATAGCGCCATCAAATTCCGCAGCGCTTTACAATGGGTGGATGAACAGACATGTAGTTGTAACCAGACAAGTTGGACACACAGGAACAGAGGGGTTGAGGGCCCTGCTCAATGAGCTTACATGCTAGAGGGAGTGGGGTAAAATGACACAAAAAGGTAAGGATAGTATTAGACTAATGACAGTTGCAGAAGTGGAATCAGTCAGGAGCTATTAACAGTTTAATGGATATGCTTTTATGAAGAAGTGGGTTTTTAACGATTTTTTGAAGGAGTGGAGACTGGGTGAGCATCTAACGGAGGAGGGAAGCGAGTTCCACAGGAACGGTACAGCCCTCGAGAAATCTTGAAGGCGAGCATCAGAGGTGGGAGTACGGACAGAAGATAGACGTAAGTCTTCAGCAGATTGTAAGGGCCTAGACGGGACATACTTGTGTATAAGGGAGGATAGATAGGTGGAAGCAGCATTATGTAGAGATTTGAAAGCAAGAACCAGAATTTTTAATTGAGCTCTATATTTTATAGGAAGCCAGTGTAGGGACTGACAGAAGGGTGAGGCATGGGAGGTGAGCCTCGCTGTCACATTCATTATGGACTGTAAGATTTTTACTATCGTCTAGATCCCTCCAAAATAACCAGATCTGAGCATGCTGCTAGGTATGTAAACGAGAGTTAAACAGAAAGATAACAGAGCACAAAAATTAACTTTGATTGACTACAACCTGACAAGCTGTAAGGTGGAGCAAGTCCTTGGGTATGTACACGTGTACCGCGCTCGGGGACATGTGGCACTGGCAGCCAATGCCTCGGCTTGGTATGGTCGTGTGGCCACTGGGCACCTTCGAAAACATAGATTGGTTGAACAGTGGCTCTGAGAACTTGCACCTTTTTGTTTAAAGGTTATGTTAGTTAAGTAGCTATGTCTGTACGATAACCAATTATTTTAGAGTAAGAATGCCTGTGGTATCATGACAACCTTGGTAGACAGGGTTACACATATGTGAGAAAGCAATGATCTAGCTTAAACATTCATGCCCTCCTATAACGTCTTATCATGCTGGCTGCTGTGCTAACAAGGGTCTATTAACTCACAGTTTATTAACTCACTGTCTAGAGCTGTCTAGTGTTCATAATGTAGGCTAACATGCATGCAGCTGATATGTCTCTGACATAGCATTAGTTAAGACTAAACAATTATGCATTATGTGTGGAGTTGAAAAGACTCAGCTAATCTTAAGTGGGATCAATAAATGCTATCATTTTTTGCTTTTGTGTCGCTAGGTTGTTTGTAGCCTCGGTTAGAGTCCCTGTCCAAAGACAAATCACGGCTGACATCCAGCTCCCGCAGTTTAGGCAGTCATCCGATTCCTTGGCTGGGCTTCCACCTTCCTTGTGTGCAATATCCACGATTTTCCCACCAGGGTGAGAGTCGGTCAGTCAGTAAATGGCTGAGGCCCGTGGGCAGTCCGTTTGGGCCCGCAGGGTGGCTTGACTGGGTTCTCCGAGCTGTAAGGTGCCCAGAGGCCTCCACGGCTCCGCTGAGAGTATCGTAGGGGAGTTTGCACTTGGGTTGCAGTCGCTTGATGGCGTTGGCCGTTTCTTTTGGGCACAAACCCCCCATGGGACATTGTCGCGTTTTCCAACAGAGCCGCTGGTGTGGAGGTTGGCCGCCTCTACCGCACCTGCACCCGCTGGTAGGCCGCAGCCCTATCTCCGCTTCAGATTGCTTCTCCAGGTACGTTGTACCGGCTAAAAGAGCCCCGGGGTTTCGGTGTGATCTTTTAAGGGTAAGTCGCTTGTTTGCCGGTTCTTGCATGGAGTTCTGGTTTGGTGCGACCAGTCTGCTCGGCGGTTAGCCCCTTTACCCCCCCATCCTAGAACATTGTTATGTCTGATATGTATGAATGTATCATGGAGCCCCAAAGCAACAGAAATCATAGTTCTGCATAGTGCATTAAAGGGTCTTACATCAAGATAAATTGCAGTAATGTGCATTGTGTATAAGTTTATAATTAAAATTCATAGTCACTAAGCAGTAGAACCCATGTTACAGCAGCATGTTGTATGGTTTAAACCATAGTAAAATGCAAAAGAAGAATTAAGTGTAAATAGTTCACTTTGATATTGTGCTAAATGAATATCCCAATTATTTTAATGGCCTGCAGAAGGTGACAGTTTTGCTTTCCGAAATCCAAGTAGCAGTGTTGTTTATTGGAGTAGGCAGTGCAGCGGAGGTAAATATACAACATCTGAAATAAGAAAGTTGGTCAAATAGTTGTGCCAGAATTTGGTGAGACTTCTTTGGAATTGCTCTTAATAGATACTAAGTATAAAGAAAAATAAAAAGGTGGATAAACCACCAAACTAGGGAAACCTATCTATGAGTGGATGACTGGACAGGGATAAAGCAATAACTTTTATTGAATTGGTAAGACTACAGAAAACTCAGTGATACATTATCATTAAGTGTGGGTAGACATGCTAGAGGGGTGGTTCTGGTCCTATATTTCTCCTCCTGCAAAGGCTGGCCCGATGTAGACTTACCTATTATCTACCTAAACTGAGCAGAAATTCCAGTCGATTAGAAGCTACCTATCTGTGAACCTCGTGATTGTCTAGATCAGGGGTGCCCAACGGTAGGTCCCCCGATGTTTTAAAACTGCACTTTCCATGATGCTTTGTCGTTCTAAAAGCATTCTAAAGGCATGGAAGGCATCATGGGAGCTGTAGTTGAACAACATCAGGGGGTCTATCTTTTGGGCACCCCTGGTATAGATTCACTTCGTCTCACTGAAAATAAGTGTAAAGGCTGTATACGATGGGAACATGTAGATGTTCATTATGCTAAATTTGTGGATCCTTAGAGTTCATAATAAACAATTGTACCTTAGTAAATACGTGTTTTCATCATACATCCGACTTTACATTTTATCTTCATCCAGTGGCCCACTCCCAGGTAGGCTTCCCTCGTTTGGAAGTTTAGCTACCTTTGTGTTTTTCTCTCTGCTTAGTAAATAAGTAACACCCTTACCTATGCTGAGCCTGCACTTCCATGCATTGATGCATTGCATGGTGCATTTTGCCACCATCTTCGCATCAGTTATACAAATATACATCACTTTGGCAAATTCATAATGCCAGCCGCTCAGACATTTTTTGTTCTGTTGTGCGGTAAGAGCACGTGTCCTTGCAGGCTCAGTTGCAAAGCATCATGGGGTAAATGAGGCACTATCAGTCTGCCCATGTAATAGACTAGGCATTCTCAAACTCCGGCTCTCCAGATGTTGCTGAACTACAACTCCCATGATTCTTAGCCTATCTATTTCATCCATAGAATCATGGGAGTTGTAGTTCAGCAACATCTAGAGGGCCGGAGTTTGGGGAAGCCTGTAATAGACAAACACAAGGGAGGCCTAATCAGTCTGTCTTTGTGACACACATGCACTAAGTACACTGATCTAGTCTAGATAATGTGACACACCCAGGAGAAAGCTTTTGTAACTCTGTTACATACAAATATAGAACTACTAACTGTTGCTACAATTATAGAGTTATTATCCAAAGAGTGATTTTGTCAGAATTCAAAGTGAATTTAAAATGTTAGGTCTAAAATAAGCGAACTGAAAACCTATCCTCCTTGGATAATCTTTCCAGAGCGGCTACTTTGATCTAAAACTTGAAGTTCCTAAATACAACTGCCATCAAGGTCTTAATTTTTTTTATTTTTTTTTTATTTCCATTGACGCTTTATACTGAATACATTATATAGTGTTTTAGAAAAGGGCCAGTCAGGTTGAGTGATTAAGTCGAAGGGCTTTCCACAGACACGAATCCAAATCCTCCGTATTCCCAAACACTGCATTATATACTAATGGACTGTAGTGCTAATTCTACTGACAAATAACATTCTTGGCTGCTGTAAAAATAACAGTTTCTGTCTCTTTGCCAGGATTTACAAAGCAACTTGCGGCTTAAGATGTCTATTTTGCAGCTGCAGTTGGAATGTCCCTGGGATAGGTGCCGCTACCTTAGTATAAACTTCCTTTTAAGACGAAAAATTGTCTTCAAGACTTGTGAATAGAGGCACATAGTGATGTCGTCACAGATTTATTGTATAGGAGACAATTTGTCACTTCCACCGATTTTTTTTTTTTTATATTAAGTTTACTTATCCTAATACATACTAATATTTATTTGTGAGGCCCGAAACAGAAATATAATGTAGAAATTTAGATTACTGTATTGTGCTGCCATCTTTGATTTCTGTCAGTCAGTATCGGAAGTTCTGCCCTATTTTGACATTTGACGAAAGCCTCCTCCAATACATTGTGCGCTCTCCCCAATGTGTGTCACCCCCATAGAGTGTCTGTACCGCAGCCGTATATATATGCGATGTCAGTGGCCTTGCAGGTCTTTTCACACCGTCTGGTTCACATACCTGTGAACTAGGTTGTGGGTAGGTTGATACAGCCACTGTATGGCTACAGTCAGTTTAGTTTATTAAGCAAGTCCACTCATCCAAAGCATCATAACCAATATAGCCAGCTGTAGTGGTTATGGTACCAGCAGGCCTGTGGCTCTGCCGTCCCCCCACTTCTGTGTCAAATAATTTTCGAGGTAAACGTCTGTAACTCTGTAATAAAATGGGTTACTAGCACAATCAGTTTATTCCAATTCATTTGCCGAGCCTGTCTGCTGATAGGGGCTAAAGTGGTTATGGTGCTTGCAATGCCTTTGATGTTTTTTTTATGAGTAAAGTTATCTGATGGAGTGCATGTGAGATTATACCATGAGACATTATCGAGGCTTTAGATCACTATTGTGTAACTGTTTTATTGAAGTTACAATGTGCAATAGTACGAGTACTCCTATACTCTTTAGCAGTCTCACCTCAACGCTATAAAATGGGTTTGTTTTTAAAATATTGGTCACTATGGAGACATGGCTTGTGGAAGGAATTTACCGCGTTTATGTGTGCTTTTGACGGATGACAAACTATAAAACGATAAACTAGTTTCTCCTGTTATGTGGAATGTAATATGTTACAAACACAAAGACACACCCAGCCATTCATAAACACAAACTAGTGTACAAGCAGAGACACTCGATAAACACACCATTTATTCCAAAGTGCACTATCCACAAACCTTCCAAACAGAGATACAACATTAAATACCGTGCAGTCGGTCTTCTCACTTGTGTCTGGTTAGAGCTCAAGAAAATCTGATGTCAGCATTTTGTGAATTTCGTTTGATTTTCTCAAATAAATAAATTATGTAAATCTGAACTTCCTGGCCAAGGGTATGATACCCAACTTAAATTTATGAATAATCATTCAAAAATTCTGTGTTTAACCAATTTTATATCAATATATTTTGGAAGCTAAATATGGTATATAGGGCGTGTGACACAAAAAGAATGAAAAGCCTACTTGTGAATTAATATCTGACTAGGCCGGACATTCTTAGAGTCGTAGAGATGGATTTGGGTGAGCAGATACTGTCATGTGTACGTGACATGTCCATGCGCTTTTTTTTTTTGAGGGCCAAAACGAAAACATTCTCAACAGATCAAAGAAAACCTGCTTTGGATCATTGTTAAAGGGACACTGCAGGCATGGTATCTGCTTCAACTCATTAAACTTGTTAGAGTGTCTGAGTCCTCTGGAGCCATCATTTGATTGAGCATTAAATAGTTTTTAATGTTAGTTTTTAATGCTAAACGAGAGTCCGCAGCAGTCCCACAGTGCTGCTTTGGCTTATGAGGAAGTATTAGCTGGAGCAGCTGTGATTGGCTGAGAGTTTCAGCTGATGGCTTTTAGCCTATCAGAGCTCCAACTAACCATATGAAGGATATGACTACAAGGAAGTGTGTAATCTCTGCCTTAGCCACGTTTCTAGGGCCGGACTGTGGGTAGCCAGAGACCCTTATTTAGTGCTAAACTGTTCTAAAATAATTTAATACTGAATGAAGGGACAATGCCAGGGGAGTCCAGGCACCATAACCAATTCAAAGAGATAAACTGGTTATAGTGCCTAGAGTGTCCCTTTAATAATATACAGTGCACTTTACAGTGTGGGATATTTCTATATTTAGATATTAATAGTTTTAACCAAAAGAATACATTGAGATTCAGTTGAAAGTCCATGCGTAACCATAAATACCGTTAGAAGGTCACTTATTTAAGATACTTACAAAACAAATATTAAAACAAAACCTATCTCTACAGTTACTGTCTGAACATAGATACAGAGAGACCTTTTCAGAAGTCTAAACGGGTGGAGGAATTTGCTTTCAGTAAGATTAATCCAAAATTGCAGATTACTGTACGGGAATGTTGTTCGACCTGCTTCCTTACAGCCGAATTGACAAAAAGTAGAGTAAGTGGACCAGAGGTCATAGAAGGAGCGGGCAGATCGAATGCGCATTCTGCACAGATTAGACCATGGCCTTAATTAGCTGTAGTTATAATTCAGGGAAATAGGCTGAAAGGTACCTGTGCAGTTGTTTGTTTATACTGAAAACACATTGTAAGACAAGGAAGCATAAAAAATACAGTATCTAGATTACTGGGAGTCATATATTTTTTTGAGGTATAACACATGTATAGCATTCCTGTCCTAAGGCTTTAGTATATGTGCTGTACTGTATAAAACACACAGAAAGTGTATGTAATATGAATATATAATAACTAGTGAAGGATAGAGACTATCAAGACTGCCATTAGAACTCTTGGCGCCTCTAATTAACCCCCAGATCAGGCCCCCCCAGCCACACTAATGTACACATACATATTTATAGATGCACACAGATACACATTCCCAGATACACTCACATACTCACTTGGATACTCACTGATACACACAGGTACTTACTGAAACACTGATACACACAGTTACCCTGCCAGACATATACTGAGATACACTCACATACTCACATGGATATAAACTGCCAGACACACACTGATGCACACAGGTAAATACTGAAACACTGATACACACAGTTACCCTGCCAGACATGTATTGAGATACACTCACATACTCACATTGACTGCCAGACACACAGTTACACACTGTCAGACACATACTGATTCACACACTAATGCACACAGGTACACACTGTCAGACACAAACTGACACACACAAGTATACAGTGTCAGACACACAGGTAAACACTGCCAGACAAACACTGATATACACTGTCAGACACACACAGTGATACACACAGCCAGACACATACAGTGATACATATAGGTACCTGCCAGACACTCACAGTGATACACACAGGTACACGCCAGACACACACAGTGGTACATACATGTACCCGCCAGACACACAGTGATACATACAGGTACCCACCAGACACACACAGTGGTACATACAGGTACCCGCCAGACACACACAGTGGTACATACAGGTACCTGCCTGATACACAGTGATGCACACAGGTACACGCCAGACACACACAGTGGTACATACAGGTACCTGCCTGACACACAGTGATACACACAGGTAACCGCCAGACACACACAGTGGTACACACAGGTACCCACCAGACACACAGTGATACATACAGGTACCCGCCAGACACACACAGTGGTACATACAGGTACCCGCCAGACACACACAGTGGTACATACAGGTACCTGCCTGACACACAGTGATACACACAGGTAACCGCCAGACACACACAGTGGTACACACAGGTACCCACCAGACACACAGTGATACATACAGGTACCCGCCAGACACACACAGTGGTACATACAGGTACCCGCCAGACACACACAGTGGTACATACAGGTACCTGCCTGATACACAGTGATACACACAGGTACACGCCAGACACACACAGTGGTACATACATGTACCCGCCAGACACACACTGATACACACAGGTACCTGCCAGACACACTCAGTAGTACACACAGGTACCCGCCAGGCACACACTGATACACACAGGTTCCCGCCAGACACACACAGTGATACACACAGGTACCCGCCAGGCACATACTGATATCCCCTTTTTATAATCGTAGAGTTCTGCGGAATATGTTGGCGCTGTATAATGTTAATATTCCTTTGGATGTTTTCTGTATGCCAGGTTTAATGAGTTCTGCAGGAAAGCAATGAACAGACCTTTAGACATTTTCATTTATCAGCGGGTTTTATTTTGAGTCAGTAGATCATCTCTATCTACTTCTAATTCACATATGGATCTTCAAATCCAGGCAGAAAAATCGTTCCAAGTTCTGGTTTGGCAGGTTTCTGCACGTTAGTATCACATTCAGATGCCGTGTAGTTGATGTTATATTTTTACCCGTATTGTGGTTACTGAAACAAAAATGTCATTTTCTTTAGCATAACGAGTTGGAAAAACAAGTTCAGCTTAAATTATGTTTTGGATAGATACAAAAATAGATAGATAGATTTATAGATGGATGGATAGACCGGTAGATAGATAATAGATATATAGATGACAGATCGGAAGGTAGGTAGATAGATTGATACAGGCTCTGGACAGTAGGAGTCAGATGGCTGTTTTCCTCCTAGCGTGAAGGGAGACAGGCTCTCCTTATCTCTAAGAGTGCTGCAAGAGCCATACAGGGAAAAAAAGTTCTTCCCGGAGCCCTAGGACTAAACACAGTTTGACTGTCAGGACTTACCCTGAGTGGGGGATTTTGCTGTGACACTGTGTGATTGCCAGTTGATACCTGAAGCACTATGCTCTAGCAGGGTCTTGCTGGGTAGGCTTGACAAATAGATACCCTAGTTTCTCCACACAGTGTGTAGAGGAACTCTTCCATAATTCCCTGTGCCGTTAAGTGGAGTGTGATAACTACTATTTTGGTTTATGGGACCCCTAAATCCCCACCTGTCCATCAATTACAGGACCAGGCAGTGCACAGTCTCATGGTTCGCATAGACTCCCGTACTCCCACACACCCTTATACAATCAAACAGGGAATTATTTGTAATGTGCCTGGAGTCTTACTGCAATACTACAGTATTTTGTTTAAAACTGAATCAGCCACTTATTGATGATACCCTGCCTATATCCGGTACCAGGAAGTAACATTCTGATATATTGAAGGAAAACATTGATTTCCATGTACATATTGCAGTGCCCATCTACCTATATGACTAGTCCTGAACTTTGGAACATTTTACCCTAAGGTCTGAAGTTATATAACTTAAAAAGTTTCTCCAAGCGTTAGAACTACAACAGCTCGCTGTAGTGGTTATAATGCCAGGAGCACCCTGGCAGGGGAGAAACCGTTTAGCAATGGTCAGGTCGACATGTGTCAGCTGACTGCTTTCAGCCAATGACTGAAAATCTGTGCAATGGGAATTGACATTAGTCAGCCTGAGTCTCTAATTCTGGGCTGACTGATGACACCCCATACGACGCTGCTGGAGGTGGAATTACACAAGGGGTTAACCTCTCGCTATGTTATGTGTAGAGTTTCAAAGCAAAACGCTGCACATACGGGTTCCAGCCACCATAACCACTTTAAATCACTTAATTGGTCATGGTGCTTGGAGCTCTGAACTTGTGTACATATAGAACATATGAAGTTATAATCCATAAATTATAATTCATTTCATTCTCCTTTTTATTAAGGTTTCCCTCCCCACCTCCCACCATTAAGTAGAATGACATAAGATCTTAAAATAGACACACCAAGAATCATTGGTGCAATAAAAATCTTAGGGAAAAGTTTTAGACCAGCCTCAAAAGGCCCGAGTGCTTGTCTCAGGGTATTACGTAGAGTGTTAATGTTCCTGTGAGGGTGTGGATGTTTGTCAGGACTTGAGGGAAAAGGGGATAAGATAATGGGAGAAGGCACAAGAAAAGTGAGAATTAGAAAAATTTGGTTAATCCCTGAGACAACATTAAGTTAACAGATCAGGGACTCCTGCCTCACCAAGGACTAGAAGAGACCTTGTCTGTCGGGAGGGATCTGTATAGCAATATAGTCAGGTGCCCCCTGACTTTACGAAATTGTTTGGTTGTGTTATGCAAACTCATTGTATGATCATCAAATACCATACTCCTGAGCAGGAATAGAGAACATCCGGTACACAGATGCGGAAAATGATTCCGTTTGCTTGCCTTGTGAGTTTAATCTCCTGGTCATAGCAGTTCAGTAGTGCTGACCTGGAGTCCAGCCATAGTTCTTCTTTGAGAAACCTACTGAGTGTCTTAAACACTAACCTCCAGAGTAGCAACTTCCTTTTGTAATGCTTGATATAGATCATTTATTAAATATATATGAAAAAAATAAAAATAAATAAAAGATCATTTTGTTTGCCTGTGTCCTCACACTGTTTGAGAGAGGTGCTGACCAGCCCATTTCAATGCTTTCTCTTTGCACAGCCACAGTTTATCTCAGAGCCGGGGTTTTGTGACTTGCAGTTTAGTTAGCAGCCTTCTAATTATGAAAAACTGCTATCAGAAATACAACACAGAGAAACGTTTGCAGTGCTTCGAGACATGAGATAACAGGAACAATAGTGATAGTGGGTGCCAGTACTGACGTTTGGGTAGAAGGGCGAGAAACGGTGTGCTTTTGGAGCTATGACGTTATGAATCTTCTAGGTACAGGAAACAGCAGGAAGGACGTGATTTCAAATGGAGGGGTGTCCCAGGGGGTGGAGTTAAGATGCAGGATGCTACAAAAATTTATTTTAATTTTGCAAAAACTATGCAAATTGTGTTTGAAAAAATGCAGATAATCATTTACTCTAAAAACTGTTAGATGCATAAATTGTATGCCGGTGTCTGATGTGTCCCTTTAATTCATTAGAAATACTGTTATAGCCCCCTTGTTTTTACAGACGTGTTTTGCATTGCTTCTTACTCCTAACTCCCTCTCTCAGCCAAGCAGCATGACCTGATGATGTTAGAGGGTTTTATGATGTACCTGCTCTCTGAGGAAGGCGACGTCTTCAATCATGAACACAAGAAGGTCTACCAAGACATGACACAGCCCCTCAGCCACTACTTCATCTCCAGCTCCCATAACACCTATCTGACCAATCACCAGCTAGTGGGGAACAGCAGCACTGAAGCCTATGTTATGTAAGCATTAATTGAGAAGGTTAACATATTTAAAGGGTCATGATGTACATAATACTCTAATAATTTGTTTTATTTAGTGATGTGTCTTTCTACTTTGTATTCCCACTTACCTTAGGCAATACAGGACACATATCTCTCATAATATCTTCTTAAAGGGACTCTCTAGGCACTATAACCATTTCAGATCTGTCTGGAGTCCCTGGACTGAGACTGAGTTTGTACGCAGCCTTTTCATTTAGCGTTAAGCTATTTTTAGTCCAGCCCATACTGGAGGTGTGGCTAAGGCAGAGATCACACACTTCCTTTAAGCCATACAGATTCATACCACCAATGGGTGCTGTGATAGGCTGAAAGAGGTCATCTGACACTCTCAGCCAATCACAGCTGCCCATTGCTGCTCAGACTAATGCTTTCATCTTAGCCCAAGCAGCACAGAGGCGATTGGCTGCTGGGGGACTCCTGTTTAGCATAAAACATTTTAAATGGTTTAATACTGAATGGAAAGAGATACAGATTTGCTAATGTTAATTCTGTGCATAACCACTCATTCATCAGCTGAGCACTTTCAACCAATGAATGAGCTCCTATGCATAGAATATGCATAGAATTAAACTATAAAATGGTGGTATAGATACAATGTGTGACCAAATATCTTACTATGCCTTTCCTCTGCTTTAATACAACCAGTAAACTGCTAATTATACTTATTATTAAACTTTTATATACATAAAAATGTACATACTCTGTATAGTTACTCTACCTACAGTACATACCATTTTCTGCAATGTAACCTGTGAAGTGCTAAGTACACCTGTTAGTACTGTACTTACTATACTTCCTTTTACTATACAACTCTAGTTAAATCAGGGAATGCCGTATATAAATTAAATATAAAATTTTTTATTATTGCCAGTGGTACACCAGGGGTTAACTGAGCATGATACAATTTTCTATAAGCCTCTTGCAGCCCCTTGCTCTTTAGGCACAGAAAGTGTTAATAAAACAGTTTCTGTAGATATCTGTAACAGATTTGCCGTTGAGTGCTCTGCCAGGCTCCTACTTTTCCAAAGAATGGCGTACCCATGGCCTGCGTAGCGGGAAGCGTCCTTTGCCAGGAAGGGATGAGTACAGCAAACAATGCGCATATATCAACATGTGGTCATCGTAAGGGACCTATTCAGTCGCCTGTAGCACCCAGATGAACTGCAGAGAAATACTGATTGCCGTATTGCTTTATTATGGGTTAAACTGCATGGTTTCTGGGTAAAAAAAATAAATCTTGGCATCCCATAATAAACTTGTGCCAGTGCTTAAACTGTTGGCACTTGGTGTCCATTCAAAATGACGCAACCAATCACCAATTATGGTTATGCCAGTGCTTATAGCTGGATTATGGTTATGCCAGTGCTTACAATAACTGGATGTGGAGCCCTTTTCGTATTCCAGATTATTTTCATATTTCTGATTGTTTTTATGAGACAAAGTTATATCTTCTTGTAATATTAAAAAGGACCCCGCGATTTTCTTCCAATGATCTCTTGTCCATCTCTTGCAGGGCGTTTAAAGAGGGCTGCCGCTGTGTGGAACTGGACTGCTGGGAGGGACCTTCTGGGGAGCCTGTCATTTACCACGGGCACACTCTGACCTCCAAGATATTATTCAAAGATGTCATTTCTACCATTCGAGACAATGCTTTTAAGGTAAGAACTGGGCACCTTTTGTCACACTAACTGGGTGAACAACAGCAAATCATTGAAACAGACAGAAAACTATGGCCTCGATTTTTTTTATTTTTTAAGCTTTTAAAATGATCCCAATCTGTTAGAAGACTTTTCAAATAAGTTATCTACAGAAGTCACCATTAAATAATTCATGTATAAATCATATGAATCAGATTGTGATTATTTTAAGAGCTTTTCCCAAAAATATTAAATCAAGGCCAACGTGTGGCATGTCTGTCTCACAAAAGAGAATAACGTGTCATATATAGAATGTTTGGAGATGTTAAAGGACCACTATAGTGCCAGGAAAACAAACTCGTTTTCCTTGCACTATAGTGTTAATAGGTCCCCCCACCCTCATGGCCCCCCTCTCACCGGGCTGAAGGGGGAGGAAGGGTTTAAATTCTTACCTTTCTCCAGTGCCGGGCTCCATCGGCGCTGGGGACTCTCCTCCTCTTTACGACGTCATCGGCTGAATGCGCATGCGCGGCAAGAGCCGCGCACGCATCCAGCCAGTCCATAGGAAAGCATTTCTCAATGCTTTCCTAGGGACGGCAGCGTCTTCTCACTGTGAAAATTACAGTGAGAAGCGCGGAAGCGCCTCTTGCGGCTGTCAATGAGACAGCCACAGGAGGCTGGATTAACCCATATGTAAACATAGCCGTTTCTCTGAAACGGCTATGTTTACAGCAGGCAAAGTTAACCCTAGATGGACCAGGCACCCAGACCACTTCATTAAGCTGAAGTGGTCTGGGTGCCTATAGTGGTCCTTTAAGAGAAAAGGCATGGTACGGGGAGATGAATTGAGTATCTACCTGTACAGAGACAGGATGGTACGGGGAGGTGAATTGAGTATCGACATATACAGGGACAGGATGGTACGGGGAGATGAATTGTGTATCGACATATACAGGGACAGGATGGTACGGGGAGATGACTTGAGTATCGACATATTCAGGGACAGGATGGTATGGGATGATGAATTGAGTATCGAAATATACAGAGGCAGGATGGTACGGGGAGATGAATTGAGTATTGAAGTATATAGAGGCAGGATGGTACGGGGAGATGAATTGAGTATCGATGTATACAGAGACAGGATGGTGCAGGGAGATGAATTGAGTATCAACGTATACAGAGACATGATGGTATAGAGGAAGAGGAATACATTTAGGAGAGAAGGAATTAATATATGAATTGATGGCAGAGGGAATGAGTTTATAAGAGTGAATGTAGACATGGGATGGTAAAGAGGAGAAGGAATGTATATACGTATGTGATGGAATGTTAGGGGATTGAATGAAAACCTTAGTAGACTCTTGACATAGCATTTGAAAACATACATTTTTTCTCACTGGTAGAATTCACTGTTCCCTGTCATCCTGTCCTTGGAGAATCACTGCGGATTGGAGCAGCAAGCGACAATGGCGTACCACCTGCGTAACATTCTGGGGGACATGCTGATATCAGCACCAATCAACAATCTAGAATCAGATCACTTACCATCACCAGAGGTAAGATGAACTCGTATATAGCAAGTCTCACACCTGGCGAAGAATTACAGTGCAGAACCTTTTATCTGTACCCATCGTAGCGGAACAATGCTGAGGAAACCTGTAACCTACAGGGTGATTATAATTGCAGCAAGCAGAGCAGTTGAGTTCTGAACTTGTTTCTGTCTTAGTGAGCATAATATTTCTGCCCTAGGCTAATGTTTAACATGGAAGCGCATTTCACAGTTACATAGTTACATAGGATGGAAAGAGGCATGTGTCTATCAAGTTCAGCCTTTCTCACATCTGTTTTTGCTGTTGATTCAAAAGAAGGCAAAACAAAACCTAGTTTGAAGCACTTCAAAATTTGCAACAAACTAGGAAAAAAATCCTTCTTGACCCCAGAATGGCAGTCAGATATCTCCTTGGATCAAGAATATATTACCCCACAAATTAAAAATGATATCCCTGAATATTATGTTTTTGCAAGTATGCATTCAGTTACTGTTTAAACATCTGTACGGACTCTGATAAAACCACCTCTTCAGGCAGAGACGTCCACATCCTTATTGTCCTGTAAGTTTATTTCTGTGCCCAGCAGAGCATTGCAATTCTGGCTCTATCTCTGTACCTGCAGTGCTTATCAGTACTATCACTGCTATATTTCTATCTAGCCTAGCTTGGCATGTTCAGTATTGATGGTAAGTCCTTATATGTCATAGTATTACAATGGTGAGGTGGTATCTGTACCTGGCATAGCAGTAGTGCTGATACTATAACTAAATTTGGCGTAGCAGTGTAGTGTTTATTATAACTCTTGTAATAAGTGAATTGGAATATTATTACAGTTTACCTGCTGTACTAGTGCAGCATTTAAACTGTCTGTGTCCCTGCTGTAGTATTAGCTTGTCGAACCTATCTGTAACAGATAGTGTATCTAGTAGTGTAGAGCTATTTCTGTATCACGTAAAAGCTTTAACATAAACACAAATTTAAAAAACATAAATCTCTTATTATATAAATTTAATGAAGTGTAATATATTGATGAAGTGCAATATACTTTGCTAAGAAAAATGCAAACAAATTTACAAAATATGTGATACACACTTTTTACCTCATTGTTACACTTTCCAGAAATTCACAGTAATGACATCAAATAAAGAAATAAACAAATATATATATATATAAATAGTATTAGTCTGTGTTAAAATTAAAACAGGTGTAGGGAAATGGAATAACGCTCACAAAAAGAGAGCAGGTAAGTCAGTGGTTTCCAAACCAGGATTTAGGATTACCCAGTTGTGTCAGGGTATTTTTTTCTTTTCTAAAAACACGTTAGACACAATTGGTTTAATCCCTAAATCCTGGACTGGTAGATTGGTTTAAGGACTGGTTTGGGAACCACTGAGGTAAGTACTGGCTTTAAATAAAGAATCTCTTACCTTTATTGCGGTCCGGTGGATTTAGCACACCACCTCTTGCCTCTGCTGCTGTGAAGTCCATTGAAGGAGTGGTTTTCTTTGGAGCCCGGACAACGCACCTATTTTTTTTGTATTGGTTTTTATGAGAGTGTTTTTTTTTAAGTTAGAGCATTTATTGGGATGCTGCTATTTTTGGTGATTTATGTTATACTTTTAAGAATTAGTTAGTGCCATTTATTAACTCATTGTACTTGGATTGAAAGTTTGTCAAGATCAACTCTGTACTATTCCATTGTCTTCATATCATCAAAGGGACATGAATATAGTAATGCTACGTTTCCCAAATCTCTATTTTCTCTTACAGGCTCTGAAGCGGAAGATTCTGTTAAAAGGGAAGAAGCTGAAAGAACGTTCGTCATCAGAGGAAGATGATGGAAGAACCAGGGTGGTGAGTTGGGGGAACGAGGTTGGTAACAGAGAACATTGGTTTTGAGACATGGTGAGATGAAGGTTAATAATGGAAGATCTAAGAGTTTAAAAGAGCAACCAAGTGGTGCCTTAATTAAAGAAGGATGGTGAGTTTTGGTAAAACTCGTGGGTTATGTAGTGCTTAATAAAGGGTGGTGGGTAGTAATTAAAGCATGGATTTGCAATAGTAAAAGCAGGGTATAGTTCTAAAGGTCTGTGAAATCCTGCATTTCAAAATCTTTATTAGTCTTTGAGAAAACCAAGTTTTTGAGGCAGACGATCTACCTGACATTTCAAATCTGGACTGCCTTTGTGTGTGGAATCATTTTGACATGCAACTAGAATAGGTTGTCTATGTGAACTTAAATATGCTTGAGACTTCAGCAACTTACCAAGACCTAGAAAAGGCTATTTGAGTTGTTAACCATTCTCTGTGTTTTCTGGCTTATTGGTAATAAATGAGTATTTTTAGAAGGCCACTGTGTTTTTCCGCAAATCCAGGATACGGCTCCTGAACTTTCGGACCTTGTGGTTTATTGTCAAACGGTGGAATATCGCGATCAACCGGGCCTTGCTTGTGAAATGAGTTCCTTCAGCGAGGATAAAATTCGTAGACTCATAAAAGAATATGGTATTGGAACTTCTAAAATATTTTAGAATACATATATTAATTGTTAAATAACAAACATTGTCTTTAGTTCTGTATTCTCATTAAAGAGAGTAAAGGGGATTTGTGTTTGAGAGAGAGATACCTGAACTACCTGACTCTTTAGAAAGACTGTGACCCGTCTTTTAAGTTTACCTCCTTTTATAAACATAATTATGAAATTAATTAAAATAATTACTAACACACTTAATTATCAAATAACTCTTTTATAACCCTTGGCAGGAAATACCATGGTACGGTATAACACTCGACAGCTCAGCCGTATTTATCCAGATGGACTGAGAGCCAACTCTTCAAATTATAGTCCTCAGGAGATGTGGAATGCCGGCTGCCAGCTGGGTAAGAATACTGCCACGGGTGAACAAATAGTGGATGGCCAACTAATGCTACATAATAACTTCTACCAACTTAAGCCAGGATCTGCCTGACTGATGATGAGGGGTACTATAATCACTTAAGAGTTATATTCACATGTGATTTTTCAATTAACTGATTGTTAGGGAATATTTGTCATGCCCAGGCAATGCAATGAGAAAGTTTAGTTATTTAGTTCCTCATGCCTCATGTAAAGTCATCTATGACTAATTTGTAGATGTTTCAGAGGATCCCTCACTCTTAAAGGGACACTATGGTCACCAGAACAACTACAGCTTATTGTATTTGTTCTGGTGAGTAGGATCATTCCCTTCAGGCTTTTTGTAGAAAACACTGGCTTTTAAGAGAAAAAACAGTGTTTACATTACAGCCTAGGGATAACTCCACTGGCCACTCCCCATATGGCTACTAGAGGTGCTTCCTGAGGCAGTGCTGCACAGTGTAACCAACACTCTGCCCCTGATCTGCCTCCTTGACAGTCTCAGCCAATCATATGGTAAAGCTTTGTGATTGGCTCAGGACAACACTTCTGATGATGTCAGTCAAGCAGGCAGATCAGGGGCAGACCCAGCAGCTGCAGACTTGAACAAAAGATTGTACTATATTTAGGGGAGCAAGGAGGGGCAGGGGGCTAGATGATGGTTTTAACATTATAGGGTCAGAAATACATGTTTGTGTTCCTGACACTATAGTGTTCCTTTAACAGCTACTGTCACATGCAGGATAGATCTTTGGGCTCTTACAAGTGCTGTGGCTTTGCTAATGATTGGTGCTACTAAGCGGTTTGACATGACCAGGCTGGACTAGATTATCAAAATATACAAGGGTTAGGTACTGATCAGTATATCTTGGCAACCTTATATCTTCCACAGAATTCCAATACTTCATATATTCTGATGACACTTAGATAGTACTGTCTGTCCCCGATTGTTCCACCCTCCTTTGTCATTTACCACCGCTCCTCTTCTCTAACGTGATGCTCCTCCCTTCGTGTCACCGGTGCAATCACCAACCCTGCCCACAAGTGTAATGAATTGATGTTGTGATGCTATAGTTTTCTGCTCTTCTCACATCCAATTAGTTTTTGGATACTGTCACTTTCATTTTAAAATTATAGCTTGTGTATTCCGCTTTCTAACATTAGATGCAGCCAAAACATTTGTTCTTGCATTCATTACTGTCCATATAGCATTGCACACAATAAAATAAATAAATAGCAAATTTAATAATAAAAATAAATGTCATGACATGCCCTATTTAAGACTACACAGAGCCCTCCATATTTGGTCATTTCATAATAATTGAGTAGTGGTTCTAGAGAGATAATATGCCCGACACATTACCCCAATTGGAGAATGCATTGGACTATTCTGTGGCTAAGTCCACTACAAAGCCATGGGTCCAACACAGTTCCCTATGCTTGATTAATTTAGTGCTGCAGCCAAGGATGGGAGTTATAATAAGTAAATAGAAGAACACATTGTAACAGTATCCAATGAATTATATCTCCACCAGTTGCTCTGAATTTCCAGACCCCTGGATATAAAATGGATTTAAACCGGGGTCGTTTCCAGGATAATGGTCGTTGTGGATATATCCTGAAACCGGAATTTCTACGGAGGGCAGATACTTCCTTCAATCCCGAGATAGTCAGCAACAGCATGAAGATTCTCCATGTCAGGGTGAGTGACAGATGACTTTAGTCTTCATGGGAAAAGCAGCTACGGGCAAAATCTGCTATTAAAGGGATAAACCTCTTATCTTGAGCTGAACGTGTGTATTTAAATGAAGTTCAGTTTAGTTGACTGAGTATTTAAAGGATCACTATAGTGTCAGGAAAACAAAGCGGTTTTCCTGACACTATAGTGTCCTGAGGGTGCCCCCACCCTCAGGGTCCCCCTCCCGTGGCGCTGAAGGGGTTAAAACCCCTTCAACCACTTACCTTATTCCAGCGCCGTGCTCCCCCGCCGACGTCAGCTCCCCCGTCTGACGTCAGTGGAGCTGAATGCGCATGCGTGGCAAGTGCCGCGCGCGCATTCAAAGTGTCCATAGGAAAGCATTTCTCAATGCTTTCCTATGGACGTTCTGTGCGATGGAAGCATACTATGCCTCCAGCCTCGCAGATGCGGCTCTAGTGGCTCTCCGGAAGACAGCCACTAGAGGCTGGCTTAACCCCAAATGTAAACAGCAGTTTCTCTGAAGGGTTAAAACCTGAGGGACCTGGCACCCAGACAACTTCATTGAGCTGAAGTGGTCTGGGTGACTATAATGTCCCTTTAAACAGGTCTTTGCTCTTACGATATCCTGGATGGGAGAATAATTATAATTAAATGAATTGACCTTAGTCCTACTGTGACCTTCATGGTAATTGTGAAATGTGTTCAAGCATCTGCTCCTCCAAATAGGTTATTTCTGCTCAACAACTCCCAAAACTCAACAAAGAGAAGCCAAGTTCAATTGTTGACCCTTTCGTTCGAGTGGAGATTCACAGTGTGGGAAGGAAGCGAGAACAAGAGACAAACTACATCCTTAACAATGGTAAGACCTGGAATAACTCTTAGTTAAACCACTACTGAGTAAAATGATTTGCTGTCAAGCCATACAATCACTCCCTAACAAGGTGTATTGAGGTTCGAATTAGAGTGATGTGCCCCCAAAAACATTTCTACTCTGTTGTCGTTGGTTATAGGATTTAACCCCCTTTGGAATGAAGAACTAAGGTTGGAGGTTCTAGTACCTGAACTTGCCCTTGTGAGGTTTGTGGTAGAAGATTACGACAAAACTTCGAGTAATGACTTTGTAGGACAATTTACGCTGCCTTTCCCCAGCCTGAGGCAAGGTAAGTGAGAAGACAGTGTGGTCAAAGTAGAAAGAGGAAGGAGTGGAAATAAGTTATAGATGGGTGTAAAGAAGGATGAAAGTGAAGGCAGCCTTCAGAGAATTTAAGGCTTAGTGTAAAGAGTAGGAACATCCTTGGACATTTAGCAGTAAAAAATGCTTAATGTAGGACTAAGCAAGGAATAGTTTCGAGGTATAGATAAAATATGAAACAGATGAGTGGACATATTTTGGGGGGCAAGATACAAACGACTAGAAATTGTTTCCAATAGGAAATATTTACTGAACTGGAGGAAGAGGGCAATATGTTGTGGATTCGGTATTAGAAGGTGGTTTAAGGTTGTTAAGAGCAGTGGTTCCCAAACCAGTCCTCATGACCCACCAACAATCCAGGATTTACGTATTTCACCGTTTTATTCCAGTTGAGATACTGACAAAACCTGGACTGTTGGTGGGTCTAGAGGACTGGTTTGGGAAACACTTGTTTAGAGGATAAGGTTTAACATGGATTAAAAGGGCAGGATTATTAATTCAGGTCAGATCGTCTAAATTGCATTGAGACATTTGTCAGAAAACATATCGGGGTCATCTTCCTTTATTTATCCAGGTTACCGCCATGTACACCTCCTCTCCAAGGATGGCACCTCACTCTCCCCTGCCACATTGTTTGTACACTTGCAAATCAAGGATCCGTGAAAATCTTTTGGAATGTGGAAAGCTCTGATCTCTTCTTCTCAGACGACTGCAGGAAGCGGAACAAGTGTGGCCGGGAAGATGCTCGATATTTTGTATGCCCTTATATTTTCAGGCACTGCTGGAGGAACAAATTAATTCTCAACAAACCTGGTCTACAAGGTCTCTCTCCACAATGCATGCCTGTCAAACACCTAGTGACTCAGTATATATCGGTTTAACAAAACAAAACAAAAAAAAATCTGATCAGTCGTGCCGTATCGGAAATACCTTTACAATACCCGATCAGTGTTACCAAAAGATGCCTTACCTATTTGGTGTTAAAAAAATCCCAAAGCCATAACTAGCTGGGCATAATCCAGTGGTGTTTTGCAAGAGAAAAAAATTTTGCTTTCTGTGCCAAATGAAAATGATTTATAATAAACATCACATAGCACCAGTTAGGAGGCAAATAATATATTTTTAGAGGTATTCTTTCTGTTAAATGTATATAGATCTATACAAGAAGACAAAGTATCAACCAATATGCCATAAAATAAATTACTTGATAATTAGCACGACAGTAAAGCCAAATATCATTTTTATGTATGAGTCAGGCGATGGTAATTATTGTGTATGTATGTATGTATATATATATATAAAATGTATATACAATGCTGTGAAAATGTCTTGACTATGGAGGACATATATGTTTAAAGCTATTTATTTGGACGTGAAGTTGTTTATTTTCTCAGACAATATACCATACAATACAAATAAACATTAAAACGTTTTAAAATACAAAATACTATCGTTAGTTAGTAGATGCTAGATGTATAATTCTTTCCCAGACCACAAATTGACATAGAAGTGCGGCTAGTGAAATTTAAGAAAACGTGAAATGGTAAGCCTAGGAACCATAACAACTGCAGTTCTATGTAGTTTTTATGGTGCTAGTAGTCACCATTTTTTAATGGTTTGAGACTCGCCTGGATCACCAATGAGCCACCATTCCAGCTTCCTGTTCTCATATATATAAAAAAAAAAAAAGTATTGTGGAAAACAAAAATAAGAGAATTGTAAATCGATCTGTGAATTTTCTATTTGATGCCAAAATAGTGAAGTTGTAAAACTAGTGGTATTGAATATTTTTTCTAAATACTGTATTATCTAGAGTGTTACATTAGCCTCAATGAAGGCTATTCAAAAATATATAAATAAATATGGTTTCATTTATATATAATATGTATCTAGACAGCTCTATAGAGTTGTGTATTTGTTCTCTCATAGAAGAATCTTTCTTTAACCAGGTGTAAGGGACTATTAAAGGTCCAGGTTTGTATTTTTTCAATATGCCCGCTAATAGGGTTATTTACTAATTCATTAACCTTGTAATGCTTTCATCAACCACTACCCCATAGATCCAGTCACCTTCCTCCAGCACCATAATCCCCTCATCTGCCGCAGGTATACTATAATCCCCTCACCTCTAGCACCATAACCACTTCAAACCCCCATAATCCCTTTGTTAGCCCCGTGCCACTTGCCTTATAATGCCGTCTTCCCTATCTACATTCACAGTATTTTAACCTCCTAATCCCATTATCCTGGTCCCTCCGTTCTCAATCCACACCGTCCCACTAATCCCAGCCAGAAAGTACCAATACGTCTTCATCCCAATAAATATCAGCCAGTTAGTGCCATCACAGTTCGGCTATTATAGCCTATATTTTGCAATGTGTTCTGTGTTTTTCACCACAATTCTTAGTTTATTGATTAAACCATGTGTCTTGTTACCCACACAAAAACTATATATTTTATTTCTGGTATTACCTTGCAATTCATTCAGGTCTTGTTTACTGTATGACATTTAAAGAACCATCACCAACTGAGATAAATTAATATATGTTCCATAGCAAAAAATAAAAATAGATGACATTCCGTCAGCCTGAAGCAATGTTCGAAAGCTTGCATCACTCAAAGAATGGCAATCAGGGTACAGCTATGTAATTAATGGGGGTTATTAATGTTTATAAGGCAACAGCACAGAGAAAGATTTCTAAATATATAAGAATTTTATTAACTTTGAATGCGTCCTCCTCTGTTTAGCTATAAAACCAAAGTATTGTTTTATTTAAGTTCTCTTTGCTCTGTTATAACTACAGGACAAAATCCGCTCTCTTTGTAATAAATGTACATTTTCAAGTTTTTCTGGGTCCCATGTGCATTTATTTACACATATTTAACATTTTGCAATTTTCTAGGTCGCATGAAAGCCAGTTGCAACTAGGCCTGTTAGTTATAAAACCAAATCAGTAGGACTTTATAAGCATTTCAACCAATAATTCTAGGATCAATGAGCAGAAAGCCAAAAGATCTTGTGTTTAATGCACAAGATTCTTCGTCCTATTATGGCACATGCCAGTTAAAGGGTCACTCAAGCCGGGAATCTATTTTTTTTTTTTTTTTTTTTTAAATACACCATTGCATTTACAAAATATGCACAATAACCTCTCAATAATACAAAAAGATAATGCTATTTTAAAAATAAATAAAACATTTTTAACAAATTCCCATGCTTTTCCCAAGACATTGTCAGCTAATCAGGATGCTGACTTTATCTCAAATCTTTGCACCACATGGGTTTATAGACAGAAGAGGTGTGTTTGGAAGTTGTAATTATGTGAACATTTTATAAATCTTAAAGGAACACTATAGTGTCAGGGATATTTTTGTGTTCTTAACACTATAGTGTTCCTTTAAAAATTTAGCAAATGACAATGAAATTCTGTTCAGCTCAGACACACATTTCAAATGGGGAGGAGATAGAATATTTTTTTTTTTTTCATCCTACACCTTCCATTCTATGAGAAAGGTAAATGAGTGGTGTGGATTTCTACTTTTAAAATTCTTTTTCCAGACCTCAAACACATTTGTTACAGAGCACCTGATATTTCATCTATACATTTAAAATAGTTTTATTTTTTTCCCCATCTGCCAATCAATTCTTCAGCATAAACCTCTATGCAGAGGAATCGATTGATAAAGGAGAACAAAAAAAACACCACACAGTGGTCCTTGTGCTCTTCACCCATATTGTAACTCCCTAAACCGGTGTTGGCTAAGGAGTGTAAGTTCAGATTCTGGCATGCAAGCATCAAAGCAAACATGTCTGTAATGCAGGAGTTTTAGCCTGCACTGGGAAGTGTCCCCAGCCAGGGCAAGTCTGTGAAGATGCCAGGTGAACCCGATGTGGGGGTTACAGAAATGTAACAGCCACCATCTCTGAAATGAAGTTGCAATGGGGGAGCAGAGGGACAGGTAGGTGGTGACAAAAAGTGAAACATGGGAATAAGAAAATAAAAAAACAAAAATAAATAATGGGAAGGGACAGTGCTGCTTGAGACCACACATTATACCAACACACACATTTGCATTTTTCATGATTGAAATGGGAATTACAGCTGGAGTGTTCGTAGTAGTACAGTAGTTTATATTAGAAAACTACACTTTGTTTTGATAGACCAGAATGGTAAAGGTGGGATCTACACCTCCCCTTCTCCAAAATCCTGGAAACCATTGAACAAGTTTATAAAGCCAGATAGGTTAGTGCATCTCAAGCTGTAACATACATTAGTTATCCAGCTGCTTGATGCTTTCCTTTTATGTCCGTTTTGGATTCCGCACTCGATTCGTGGAATACCCAAACTTTAGTTATGTGCTTATGGATTTAACAGACATGAACACACCCAAGCAAAATAGGCAAATATCCAGTAACTGCTATCGGAAACCAGAGTTCTGTTCATATTAATACAGGTAGCTGTGCATCTTGCTTTTTAAAAAACCAATATAAATGGGTTTTAAGGGAAATTTGGACAAAATATAACAAAAGCATTTAAAAAAAAAAAAAAAAAAACACTCATAACTTTTTTTGAAAGATGAGACTACAAATTCAGAATAAGTGAGACTGTCACAGGCGGTGGTGGTCTCTGCAGTTCTTTACTAAAAACCAACACAGGTAAAACATTTGTTAGACGGTTTAACCTGGTAGAAGGAAGGAAAGGTATGCGCTCATTTTTAGTTTTTCCCCGAGCTCCGCCACCCTCTCCACCTAACATACAGCGCTGTAAAATCTGTTGGTGCTTTATAAATAATAATCTAGCACACGCAAAGAGAGAAAGATGCCATACACCCTATGTTTTCTTATCTCTGTTCATTAATACATAAAAAAGCATGGGTTTTTCACATAATCTTTGTGGAAAAATCTCCTAAGTCACAAATCTTCATAAAAAAAAACAAACTACAATCTCTTTAAACCATTAAAAAAAAAAAAAAAATCAAACAGACAACATTGTACATATATATATATATATATAATATATATACTTTAATATTTAGCCACAACTCTTTTTCAATTCAGATGGCAGCAGGAAAGGAAGAGTGGGCGCAATGTTATATTCACAGCAGGGGGTAAAGAAGGGAGAGAACACTCCCTAAAAAATCCTTAATTCAAGCCAGGCTATCAGAAAACCCTGCTTTGCGCTTCCATACGTCTGCATACATCAGTACAGTGTATTCCTTGGCTAAGCCTATGAAACCGTTCTCTGCTCCTTGGGGCTGCTTTCTCCAATGTCCAATCTCTGGCATGGGGAGCAGACGATGGACCATTTCACTCCCTGACCCCTTCAGGCATGGGGGGGAAGGTTTATTGTAGAACCAGACCCACCTGCAGAGAGACAAGAGTGAGAGAGTGTTAAAATCTGAACAAAGACTGCACAGAGTAAGTGGTATGGAAGTAGTAAGGTATTTGCAGCAATTCAAAGTGTTATGGATTTTTTTTTCTAATAGTGACTAAAAAAATTTATATATATATATATATCTCAATTATTGTTAAAAGAAAAAAAAACAAAATGTGGTGTACTCGCGCAAAAATAAAAGGTTATTAAAGTGAAGTTTGTCGGGAATTCAAAGTGAATTTCCAATTTCAGGCCAGAATAACTAAATTGGTTAAAGAATGCTCTATATAGTGCATTAAGAAAAATAGGGGAGTGTGTGTATGTATATATGTAATATATATATACACACACACACATATATATATATACACACACACACACATATACATACATACATACATATACACACACACACACACACATACAGGGAGTGCAGAATTATTAGGCAAATGAGTATTTTGACCACATCATCCTCTTTATGCATGTTGTCTTACTCCAAGCTGTATAGGCTCGAAAGCCTACTACCAATTAAGCATATTAGGTGATGTGCATCTCTGTAATGAGAAGGGGTGTGGTCTAATGACATCAACACCCTAGATCAGGTGTGCATAATTATTAGGCAACTTCCTTTCCTTTGGCAAAATGGGTCAAAAGAAGGACTTGACAGGCTCAGAAAAGTCAAAAATAGTGAGATATCTTGCAGAGGGATGCAGCACTCTTAAAATTGCAAAGCTTCTGAAGCGTGATCATCGAACAATCAAGCGTTTCATTCAAAATAGTCAACAGGGTCGCAAGAAGCGTGTGGAAAAACCAAGGCGCAAAATAACTGCCCATGAACTGAGAAAAGTCAAGCGTGCAGCTGCCACGATGCCACTTGCCACCAGTTTGGCCATATTTCAGAGCTGCAACATCACTGGAGTGCCCAAAAGCACAAGGTGTGCAATACTCAGAGACATGGCCAAGGTAAGAAAGGCTGAAAGACGACCACCACTGAACAAGACACACAAGCTGAAACGTCAAGACTGGGCCAAGAAATATCTCAAGACTGATTTTTCTAAGGTTTTATGGACTGATGAAATGAGAGTGAGTCTTGATGGGCCAGATGGATGGGCTGGCTGGATTGGTAAAGGGCAGAGAGCTCCAGTCCGACTCAGACGCCAGCAAGGTGGAGGTAGAGTACTGGTTTGGGCTGGTATCATCAAAGATGAGCTTGTGGGGCCTTTTCGGGTTGAGGATGGAGTCAAGCTCAACTCCCAGTCCTACTGCCAGTTCCTGGAAGACACCTTCTTCAAGCAGTGGTACAGGAAGAAGTCTGCATCCTTCAAGAAAAACATGATTTTCATGCAGGACAATGCTCCATCACACGCGTCCAAGTACTCCACAGCGTGGCTGGCAAGAAAGGGTATAAAAGAAGAAAATCTAATGACATGGCCTCCTTGTTCACCTGATCTGAACCCCATTGAGAACCTGTGGTCCATCATCAAATGTGAGATTTACAAGGAGGGAAAACAGTACACCTCTCTGAACAGTGTCTGGGAGGCTGTGGTTGCTGCTGCACGCAATGTTGATGGTGAACAGATCAAAACACTGACAGAATCCATGGATGGCAGGCTTTTGAGTGTCCTTGCAAAGAAAGGTGGCTATATTGGTCACTGATTTGTTTTTGTTTTGTTTTTGAATGTCAGAAATGTATATTTGTGAATGTTGAGATGTTATATTGGTTTCACTGGTAATAATAAATAATTGAAATGGGTATATATTTGTTTTTTGTTAAGTTGCCTAATAATTATGCACAGTAATAGTCACCTGCACACACAGATATCCCCCTAACATAGCTAAAACTAAAAACAAACTAAAAACTACTTCCAAAAATATTCAGCTTTGATATTAATGAGTTTTTTGGGTTCATTGAGAACATGGTTGTTGTTCAATAATAAAATTAATCCTCAAAAATACAAGTTGCCTAATAATTCTGCACTGTGTGTGATAGAGATAGAGATATATAGATAGATAGAGATAGATATATATATATATATATACATACATACATACATATACATACACACACACACACACACACATATATACATACATACATACATACATACATACATACACACAAATCAAATAGCAAGGCACTCCTCCTTCTGGTAGAATTGCAAAAAGCACAATAAATGTTTAAATGCCTAGGTGCATCCCGCGTTATATATAAAGCAAATAGAGAGAGGGAGCACACTAGGGCTTCAATAATAAAGTGAAATTTGTTTTAATATATTCTTACAAAATCATGGTCTGTGCATATATATATAAAAAAAAAAAAGACGTTTCGACCCTCCTGGGGTCTTTATCAAGATCCGATCTTGATAAAGACCCCAGGAGGGTCGAAACGTCTTTTTATTTATATGCACAGACCATGATTTTGTAAGAATATATTAAAACAAATTTCACTTTATTATTGAAGCCCTATTGTGCTCCCTCTCTCTATATCCACACTTCTAAAACTACAATCTTGGTGCTCACTTAAATGGAAACTATAGGCTAGGTATACAAAATTGTATTCCTAGACTATAGCGCCTTTCTCGCTCGTCCCTGAGCCTCCCCCCGCCGCAATTAAAGGGTTAAAAATCTGTTGTGTCACTTACCTACATCCAGCGTTGATGTCACTCGGTGCCGTGTCAGGTTCCGTCTTCGCCCTCCTCAGCCTTCGGGGACCTAATATGCTTGCGCGCGAGTACTACCCCATAGTAAAGCACTGCTGCAATGCTTTCCTATGGGGTTTTGGCTGACACTAGATGTCATCATGCACTGCGACCAAAAGTCGCCTAGCAACCCGGACGTCCCTCGAGGTGGAGTTAATCTTGCAAGGTAGTTATTGCCGTTTCTCAATAACTGCAATAATTACCATTGCATGGTTAAACGGACAGGGAAAGTGCACCCAGCCCACATCGAAGAGCTGGAGTGATCTGGGTGCCTAGTTTCCCTTTAACCGTGTAGAGCAACGATGCATTTCACACATAGGAAGGGGTTCACTTGCACAGCAGCAGGTATCTTGGAGTTGTAGCTAAATTGACAGCTATCTATTGTAGAAGGCCAACAGCTGAAATAAAACTCGCGTACAGCCGTACGTTTGAAGAATATCAGGGGATTCTGCAGTTTATTGGTAAGGAACAGAAAAGGTAGACGCACAGAGCAATATAAATGCATAAATAATAAAAAAAATATGTTTAAATAGACAAATCCAAACTACAAATACTAGATAAAGATGAATACCTTCTCTGGTCCCATGCTGGGACATTTCCAATTATACAGGTAATACTGCAGATTTCCATCGCCTATGCCAAATTTCAATTTATCCAGGAAAGTTTTATTCTCCATTAAGTCCAGAGCATTGAATACATCAAAACCTTTCTGCGAAAAAAACAAAAACGGAATGGAAAAATGTGTTAAAGTCTGGTCATCAAATCTATGAACCCTACCAGTCTGCCTTTAAGTATTAAAGCAGATTAAGAGGAAAAGCAGAATCAAATCTCAATCTAACAGAATTGGCCAGCACGATTATACTGTGCCTATCTACTTGAAACAAAGCGGTATGAGGGCATCTTCTACAGATTAGCTTGGTATGAAGGCATAATCCATAGCTACTTACAGATCTGGCCAGTATGAGAGCATCATTCATGAGTTCCACCAGCGGAGTCTTGGAGTGGACATTGTAGAAGGAGTATGCAGCCTTCAGACTCCTGTGCATAGGATGGTTCATAATGGTGGACGGCAAAGTGTAGAAGCTCAGGAAATCCGTCACCTCACCGTCCGGGGTCTGCGGGTTAGGAGAACACCAAAGTCAAGATGTAGGAGCCCAACCCCCTCACGTAATTTGTTCAGTATAGAAGACGAGGCAGAACTCATCTGTATAATCCTTGACTGTGAGCAGGCTGATTATCAGATGAAAAGTTTTTAGGCCAAGTTCTGAGACCCCTCCCATATTACCTCCACAACAAAGGTGTCTATGATGTTTTCTCGTGGAAACAACCAGTGCTGCACTTCTTCCTCGTTCATGACAGGAGCCAAGTGAAACTGGGAGAGGTACTGACCCAGAAGCTTGTGCACGGCCGGGATATGGCGGAGTTCCATTGGCCGCAAACCGGCTGTTTTTGGTGCCTGGAATAAGAAGAAGTAGTGCGACAAATTTATAATGTCTTTTTGTCCCCTACTCAAGATGCCATTTAATAAGCTTTTCCACTTTTCCAAGCTGAGGTTTCTCTAAGCTCTAATTTAGAAGGTTAAACTCATATGATTGTGAGACAATAGGGGACATTATATAAAGTTTAGGTAAAAGAAACCTATGAATTAAACACTTTTTTCCTTCTTTCGGTATCTATAAGAACTTTCTTCTGTTTGCGCCGAAACGGACCCAGAAGCATTCAAGTTAGAGCCAACTCATTATCTCCAACACAGAGTGTTTTAATTTGATGTTCTGGGATTTAATATACATCTATACTGAATGAACTATGTATATTGTATTTGTTTTTGAAGAAATAAGTACACAGATATTGGACTACAACAACATTACACAACTGGTATAAGGTTTTAGAAATAGCACTTCACTTCAGATTTGTATATTTTCCTGCTTATGCCGGTTATGTTTTCTATTTTATTAATTGCATGTATTAAAGCTCTACTTTGTATTTCAGAAGTGGACCCAGTGTGCCAGAGAGGTATTGACTAAACCTCACTGAAGAGCCCCTGAAAGAAGGCTGAAATGATCATCCTGGCTTGCTGCATCTCTCAACCAGTGGGAGCTTCCCAGTATTTTAAACCTGGACTGCCCTGGGGCAAATGGTATAGGTTTAATGGCACAAGCGAGCAAAAACATTTTTTGAGACCCGAGCAGGCAAGCTTCTCTGAACTTTTTTTGTTCATAGAGTGCTCATATTCTCAGTTTTTGTGGAAAATCAAGATTACATCCTACTCTCATCTGATAATCGTGTACGGTCATGTTTAGTCTATGAAGAAAAAGCAAGAACGTTTGCAATGTTTCCGAGGTAACCAAGCTCTTAAAATGAATATTTACATATTATGTTTTCCTATTTTAAAGTGTTACTAATTACACTTCAGCGGATTTCCAAAAACTACACAATAATGACCCAAGACAAATACTAGCGAGCATACATGTGATTACAAATCCCTTTTTTTGCTTGGTACCCGTGACCAGAATGAGGTCAAATTACACTTACCTCTGGCAGCCGGTAAAGCTTCATGGTCCTCTGCATGGTCATGTTGCGGCTCAAATGGGAGAACTTGACTTCTATCAGTTTGCGGGGGTTTAATGATCTGTGCCAGTACCTGTGGGACCAAGAAAGAGAAGTGGGTACTTGTTATGTGCAAAACCAATAGATATTCTAGTACTCTTATATGGGATCTGTCTCATGAACGCCTCTTTAGAAACCTAACAAACTTGTTTTAAATAAGTCTATAAACATTATACAATTTCAAGTCAATCTAATCTAGCCAAGTTGTTGGGTGGGAGGGGGTCTCTTTCTACACAATTGCATATTTTTAATATTTACAACACACCCTGTGTCTTGGCACAACAACAACGGAAAATTCCACCAGTTTTTTTTTTTGTTTTTTTTAAATAAACAGTTCAAGAAGAACGCCTATTGGTCTGTCTCTCTGCTGCTGCTCACGTAATGTTGGAAAATAATTTCTGCATTAACCAGTCTGTCTTCGGAGAAACACTGACAGGATAAGAACACAGGTAATTAATTAACCCAGTGGTCTCCGCTTGTGATTGCCATAAAAGTTGGATGGGCTCATACAAAAGTTCACTTCTGATTAGCCTAGCAGCAGGTGAGGGTAGACTCCATGGGTGTGCTTCTTCTTGCCAATCCACTACGTCCAACGTGCTTAAACATCAAAAATGATATCTACCCTGACAGGTGAGAATCATGGGAAATATAGTTAAAAAAAAAACATCTGCAGTGACCTGGCTAATACTGGTGTTTATAGACATATACAACACTGTACCTGCACGTGCCCACAGGTTTCGGCAAAACGACTCCAGCTGTGTAAACTGCTTGAAAGATCCCCTCCATGTGGACACGGCGTGTGATTTCACGGATCAGGACTGGAGCCACTCTCTTGGCACGTAGCTTCTTGTGGACACAAAGAAAGTTTATCTCAACCATTTTCTTTGTTCTAGATATAGAAAGGGAAGAAACTGGTCAGAGTTCAGAATGGCAAACAGCAGAGGAATTTTGACTGGCCTGAACTCTCATGCCCATATGTATAAAATCAGGGCCAGTTTAAAAAGTGCCCTGTTCAAATCTGGTAGCGATGGCCCTCAATGCCCACTTACCCATCATTATTGATATTTAAAATAAAAGTGAAATTTTAAAATAAATACAAATATGACCATCACAATCTCAGATACATTCTATGTTTGAGAGACAGTGACTTTATAAAGAGTTGATTTTTAAATGAAATATTCACACATTGTTTTTAATATTAATATAGATTTTTAATAAAATTATATAGAAAATGCATTAACCCCTTAAGGACACACGGCATGTGTGACATGTCATGATTCCCTTTTATTCCAGAAGTTTGGTCCTTAAGGGGTTAAAGGGTTACCCCGAGCACCATGACCACTTCAGAGATTTGCAGTGGTCATGGTGCTTGGAGTCTGTACATGCAGCGCTTCCGTCCATACAGAAGCCAGAGGATGTTAGCCTGAATGCAGAGAAGGTGCGGTGCTAGGCTGAATACAGGTAATAAAAATTGTAGGGGGGAATTATTTATCTTTTAAAATGTTCCTCGGTATACTGCTACGTGGGTCTCTCAGTAAAGGAGTAAGGAAAAAGTAATATAAACCATCACAGCCCAACTCATTCATTTGTGAACTGGGGTGGGTGCTCAGCATCTAAAAAGCTGCACACCACACATGTGCAGTCCACAGCTCAGCTCCATTATTACGGCTGTGATTGTTATAAAATAGCTTTTGCTATAGCCCACGTTCAGAAATCTTTAGTTTACAACACCGCACACAGCATCTTGGGAGTAACAAATCTAACTCAAAGCTAATTTACTTGTCTCTTAAGTGACAGTTTCCCCTTTAAACTACACCATATGACCAGACACTCAACATTCAGCTACATAGCCAACCATCAGAACAGATGTTTCGATGTGGAACGCTTACAAAATCATCCATACACGACGATAGCATAATTGCAAGTCTACAATGTGTAGGGGTAAAAAGTTAATTTCTATAGAACAGAAGGAGGATGCAGCCGATGCTCCTTTCTACACTGTGACGCAGGATCAAATTAGAACCTATACTGTGGTTTTAAACTAGAAAGCGGTTTTAATTTTACCATAATACAGCCATTTATCTACTATACAAAGCACACAATAAAGCGATACTTACAAGTCATAGATCTGCATTGTTGCTGGGATGGCACTAATAAACCCCACTAGTTTCTTGCTGGTGATAACTCTCACTCCACAATGCCACTGTGGAAGCCATCCAGGGGGTCTTAGGGCCCTGGAGAAACATCCATGGGAGGGGAGAAAATAATTAGTCTTAAGCAAACACATCCAGAATTCTACAGACACACAGGGGCCACAAAGAAAGTAGAAAAAGAAAAAGGATAGAAGCACAATGGGTAAGATGATAGAAGCACTCAGAGAAAGAACAAAACAAGAATTAGAAAACATAGAACGGCATTTAAAGATGGAGGTAAGAGACCCTTACACAAACGGGGAGGAATGAGAGAACTGCAAACTCACCAGAGCAAGAACTCGGGAGAGTAGTCAAAACGGAACATGTTATCGTCATCCTCGACGTAGTTCTCATTGAGCAAAGTGTACAGCTCTTTCAGCTGAGGGGATCGAGAGAGAGAAGGGGTGAGAGAGGAGAAAAAGAAAGGGGCTGAGAGAAAGAATAATAAGAGAAGTGGGTAGAAGAGCAAGAGATGGCTCACACAAAATAATGAATGTTAAGGATTGGAGTCACTCATCCACTTCTTCAAGAAAAGAAACAAGTACAGCACACAGTACAGACTAAATCCAAGAGCTATTTCATAGATACGTACATCAAATGGACAGAAATGACTCTAACCAAAGAAGAATAACAAAGCAGAGGTGTTCTCGCTCGACATCCTGTTTAAAGTAAGGCAATCATGGGTCTCTCACTTAAATCCCCCAACTCACATCATGCAACATAAATGAAATGAGTAATAATGACGTCTGGAGGGTCACTTGAAAATTAGATAAATTAGATCATATTGTAGAAAACAAATTCACAATAAATGTTTTTTTTACATGCACCCTAAGCAGAGTCATAACTCAGGAGCTATTTATACACGGTGAGTCCAATATAAAATATGCGCCATCACACACAACCTTTATCTTCATGATCGGCACAAGTCCTTCCGTTAGGCTTTCTACCATACTGTTCTCCTATTTGCCTATGATGAACATAAATACATTGTTCCTTAGTTCATTTCATTATTGGACTCTTGCCATCCTATTACTTATGTATCTACAGATAATGAAGATTTACTTGCATCGTCTTTATTCACTTATCTGACTTGGTATAGAAGTCATTTCTACTCTTTTTTTTTTTTTTTGGTGGGGGATGGAAGCACGCTATCATTGCCCATCTGTAAATTGTACTTTTTGTCTCACTTACCACTGCCCTGTCGCCCAGATCTAGGGCATCCCAGGTGAAGCCTGGTGGCAGAGTGTATGGTTCCTGCCGAATATTATCCTTATCAGGCTCGATGGGACCATGTGAACTCACCACCTCCCCTGCAGAACAGGGATATACAGTTATTACAGAAACAATAGACGGAATTTAAAGTCACTAGATTTAGTTCAAAAGATAAAACAAATTCTAACTGACAGTAAGGGAGGGATAGCTAACCTTGGGGTGGGGGTGTGTGTGTGTTTTATATATTAATTATATCCATGCACACACAAAAACTTGAAGACAGAGATACCTTTTGGAAGCCCAATTACAAAACAGAAATTTATACCTTACACAGACTTATGTATCCAAAGTTATATTTATTAAGGAGGGTTGCATATTTGGTTCCTACCTAACTTGGGGACTGGCTGAGTGTCCCAGAACTGGTAGCTTCTCTTGCTGGCCTCTTCCATCGTCTTAGCTGGCCCTTGGCCCACAGAGAACAATTCAATCGCCTTCTGAATTTCTTGGATTTTCTCAGCAGGCAGTGTGCTCACCTAGAGATTGAAGAAGGAAAGGAAAGAGGTGAGTTCTGCTCTGTTTTCTCAAGGAACTTATTCAGTCTGACAGTAAGAGTCCAAGATTTTCTGTATAACAGCAATGATGAAGACCAGTGATGGTTAAGGTCTGCACTCTAGAACCAGGGACAAACCATCATCGAGTCCCTCCTTTATAAACGCCTACACATGTCTTATGTGTAAACAAGACAATTCATCACACTGTTATTTACAGAATCTTAATAAAATCCATTTGTGACTACCTTGTACTATTACATTTTTTTTGTGGCTTTCTTTTCTACACACACACACACACACACACACACACACACACACACACACATTCTTGGTACCCTAGTGTATATAAGGGGTAAGTGTTATTCACAACTTTTTGTTTTTTGGTTTTATCGCCTAAACATGTAATTTGTTTTTGATATTTTTGTATTTGTGGAATCCTGAGGAGTGTTCAAAGAGTTTTATAACTACTACCTATTGATCTATTTACACAGAATTGTTAAGCACCTTTTTTCACATCTATTGTATTTTTTTTTTTTTATATCCTATTTTAAAAACTGCATCAGAAAAAAAATAATCATAACACAAACAGTGCTTACTAAAAACAGGGCTCAAAATTTCCACTCGTCTACTTGCTATATGTGAGTGAAAATTCGGCCCTGGTAAGAGCACAATTAGCCTCACAAGTCATGAGTCTTGCAGCAGCTGCAAGGGATCAGAATCTACTAACCTCCCTGCATAAATTGCTCGCTGTTCTACAGCATTTATTTTTATTTAAGTAGAAGTTCTGATAAAGCCTTATGGTGAAATGCATTTGGTGTGGTTATATAGCCTTACTTTATATTGTGTATTGCTGCAATACTGATTTTATATTTTATATATTTGTAATTGAAATAAAAAGTTTAATTCTTTTAAATTTATTTCGGATTCTTCTCTACATCTTGCTGGCTTCCTGATTCCACACATCCCAGGTAGGGATTGTACCACCAATGCTATATACCACTAGAGCAAGTTTCTTACTCTGCTCCATATAAGTAGGATATTTACCCTTTTTCTTTGACACTGTCACTATTTATACATACTGTATTAATGGACACTTTCTATTTTATGTTTTTACATATTACGTTGTTGCCTGGATGGTGTATACCATCACCACTGCATAATATATACAGAGACGAGGATTGTACTGTCCATGCTGAATACAGCAGAGCAGCTCTATAAATTGTGAGTGTGCTTTTACTATACATCTATTATATAGTTACTTTTTGTATGTTGTTGGTTTCTGGTTTCAATTGTTTTCAAGATCAATATCAATTGTTCTGACACACGCACGCACACTTTTCTTAACACCCAGAACAAGTGTAAAGATCTGTTTTAATTAGCAGCTATTTTTAATTTTGTCTTTTCTATTTTACTTTTTTTTTAACTTGATATGTGTATTTGAATTCATGCTTCCTCGATCCTCTTGTTAACCTTTTTGTCTGCCATGTCATCTTATCATCCACTTCATTACTATTAACTTTGTTTAGTGAGACGGCTTGTAGGGATTTTAGGAAAGACAACGGCAGATAGTATAACACAGAGGTGGAAGCACAGGGACACTACGAGTAAGCATGCTAGTGAAATTTGGAGTTAGCTACTGCAAAACAAAAATAAAGTGGCTATAGGCTTGTAGAATTGTGGGGGGTTTGTGACATTTGGATACAAGAGGACTAGTGAGACTGAGAAGGTAGGTTTCTATTAGATGGGACTGATACGAAGAGTGCCAATCTGGTGAAACACCAAGTGTTAGTGCAGTGGGGTGGCACTTATATCAGCACAAAGCTACAAGTCAATGGAACAATGTATTGTCGAGTGACTTGGATCACAGCCATTTCTCTCTTCATAAACAGCCTGCCAGTGAACTTTACCATACACTGCCCCACTGCAGATGCCTCTGCCCAGTTTGTTTAATGAAAAAATATCTTCAGGCACTTATTTTGTGCATGCGCATACAACATTGCCTGGAAAAAGCAAAACAAAAACACAACTTTGAGCAACTACATGTTACCTGAGCCTCAGAAGTCTCCAACTTGTCCACTGCTTTTTCTTTCTTGCGTTTCTGTTTCTTTTTCTTCTTAACACCGCTCTCATCCCCCACACTGAAACAGAAGACTTTATTAGTAAAATATAGTTTATACTACTGTACATTATACTATGTGCTATAATGTCCAGAAACCTATCGAGGTGTACCGTCCTCCCATGTGAGGGTGTGAAAGGGGAGTATCTCTCACGTTTAAGCCCACGCCGATCTCTTCACTGCAACTCCACCTCATTGGCAGAAATCAACGTCAATGCTGATGATCTCAGCCAATTCAATGTGCATGCCGTTCAGTGCCAATCAAGTGGAGCAGCATATCATCTATTAAAGCGTTTTACTTAACCCTGCTGAACTGCAATGTTTCACACTGCAGGCTCAAAGGCCAGGGGCATTGCACCCAGACCACTACACTGACATTAAGTGCCTTTAGTGTCCCTTTAATGCTTCCACATGTGTGCATATCACCCGGCAGTAATTTAAGAAAGGATTCTCTGTGATCTCATATTTGTCAAGCCCTGATATAATATTTTACATAAATGCACACACATAATCAAGTCTGTACAAGTAAAGCACAGATAATGTAGCAAATCAAGTGTAATTTGCCCACAGCGTCAGGATATCAACGAATAGGAGATACAGTGTTAAAGCAGAAAGAAGGGGCTTATGCGTGAAACATACCTGTTAATCCTATTACAGCCTCTGAGCTGGGAGGGTGTGACACAGACCTATTTAAAGTCCTATTGCATGTGACAGATGCAGTGAGAGATGGTGCCAGAGAGATACAGGGGGTATCAGCTGTTTGGGTTCTAGCCACATGTTTGAAGAGTGGGTGGAATCAAGCATTGAAGAAAATGGTAATTCAGTTCATTCAGTGTACATGAATAGATAGATTCTTTAAACAAAGCGGAAAAGATAAATTTCCTGGGAGTAAATGGTCTCTTGTGATAGAATCCATGCCTTTACAAATCAGGAGGGGAGTTCGCTAATCAGATCAATATGTTAAATAGGAACTGTAACTTCTAGGTATTAAAGGAACACTAGAGTGCTATGTATACAAATATATATCCCTAATGCTAGTGTCATAATCACTATATAGATATCTCCCTCCCCCCATTTGAAGTTAAGCGATTTACTTAGGGACACTCCAGGCCCATTGGAGTGGTCTGGATGCCAACCCCCAGGTTATGTTTACCTAGTCCCTACATTATCTATCTAGATATTTCTTTTTTGAAGTCCCCTTAGTTGTAATTAGTTTTATCCAGGGCCAGAGCGCCCCCATGTTGGCTCACTGTCAATCACAGTTATTAGTGTGACACTTTGCATCTGTTTTATAGAACAGAGAGTACGTATAGAAAGGAGAAGAAACAAAACAATGTTGTTTCCTCAAATGTTGCAGTCCAACACAACTGTATGCCCTGGCTGTACCAGGATTAAACTACATTGTGACTCAGACAAAAATCAAATATCACATTAACAACAGACTAAGGAAATACTAACATTAAATGGTGTGCCTTGTTCTATTTAGATTACAGGACCCCCTTTAAAAAAAAAAAAAAAACCTATAATCCAGTACAAGGACAGTCTTGTCATTGCAGTTGATTCGCCTTCTCTATAAGATGCATGCAATGCTTTTCACATACAGGCAAATAATAAAGTGAGGAATGATAGATATTTCTTTTTTTCCATAAATACCCTCCCATTGACTTCAGATATCAAAGATAATGGCTGACCTATATCATGCTGTGTGCAGTAGATACCTACTGATAATTCTAAGCTCACATAAAGTGTCTGGATGACCAAGCAGATGTGAGATCACAGAACAATGGTGCAAAGTTTGGAAATAAAGGTCTTTCAGGAGTTGTGGATAATGGTTGTCACACCATTTTATCTAAATAAATTTGGGGTATTGCCGCACATATCAATGCTGATTATTTGGTAATATATTACACAAAGATAAGATTTGAATACGAAGAATCCTGCTGAAATATTCTCTTATCAGCTGCACACTGTGCTAGAAAGTGTTTAGATAAACAGTAATGTGAATATTAATATTTCTCTGTCATTTTCAGGCGTTTCGACACAAAAGATAACGAACTAGCTCAGCATTCTTGCAATCTATTCCACCACACAAACAGCATTTAAACAAGGCTGCTTGTACAACCATCTTTGACAAGTGTTATACGTAATTAAAAAGCTACTTTCCTATAAATAAGGGTGTCAAATTCAGTCCATGGGCACCATAAACGCATGAACAGTTTTAGGCTTTTAATTTACAACACGCAAGTTACCAATTAAAATTATTCATCGTTGAACAATGCTCTAGTCTAGGCACTAACAATTCAGAATGACAGCCCTGCTTTTGAGATTGAGAAAAATCTACCCAGTACTGAAATTCTGTGAAGTATTCAATTTCCTGAACTGACAACCAAAAGGCCCAGATGACATGTGGATGACATGGGACCTGCATAATTTTTTTTTTTTTTTTTTTTTTTAAAGAATACACACATACATGTGCTCAGCAGAGGAAGCAGCTAATATACTGGAAAATGCCCTTTCTAAACAGGGAACAAAGAAAGAAGAAATGTGATCGTGTATGTGACAGTGTAAAAAGAAGCCAATATTACTGGATATTTCACAATTCAGCAACACCGCATAGGAGAGTACTTTATTCTGCTGTGACATAAATGTGTGTGGGATCCCCACTAATCAAGACTCAACAAGGAAATGCCTAGAATCCCCACAAGGATAGTGAAATATAAGACACCACAGTGAAATAATGGGCAAATACAATTACCAAGAGGGAAGTACTGGCCTGCACTTATAGTAATGTAATAAGCAAGTCATAAATAATGTAACCTGGTGCTAACCATACTGTGGAGATACCAGGATATGGGCATGAAACCAAAACAGTTTATCTGGATATTATCAATACTAATTGCAACTTTAGTAAAGCCTACAATTAACTGTATTGAAAGATTATACGAGGAGGATTTTATAAGAATAAATCTTTTCTTATAGCACTGCTATTAAAAAAAAAAAAGTAAAAAAATAAATTGTGTTTCTCTATTCTACAATTTTGACTGTGGACACAATAGGAAGAGCCATTTGTTGATTTATCTGAAAGGCAGTCATTTTACTGTATGACAGAAAATTTTCTATGTAGTATTAATGAAATAACTTAATATACAGTCTGCAATAATTATATTCTAAATAATTTAATTATTTTATTACATTATGTAATAATGCAAAAAATATATATATATTTTTTTAATTTGAATTTTTTATGTCTATTTTGCTGTAGGCAATAAATAGTATTCCATATTACTGAGGCTGATATTTTTCCTCCATTTAAACCAATGGCTAGTAATAATCATTATTTAATTTATCTAATAATACAGAAATTATATATATATATATATATATATATATATATATATAATTTATTTTTATTTTTTTAATGTCTATTTTGCTGCCGGCAATAAATAGTATTCCATATTATTGAGGCTGACAATTTTCCTCCATTGAATCTAATGGCTAGTATTAATCATGCAAAATCTGCACTATAAACCCTGATCCCAAAGTGACAGGTGCCAGGACCAATCAGATCACGGGATCGCCTCTCTGTCGACCAATCAGTGAGGAGGAGAGGCGGGTTTACTGTGCAGTAAGAACACGGTGGGTGACAATGGCGCGGCTGGGAGGACCGTGGGTCTCACACGGGGAAGGCGAGTCGTTACCCGCGGTTGTAGCTGTGTTTTTCCTCATTCTCGCAGTCGCTGCAGTGCCCGTGGCCGTTCTCGTCCTCCTCCAGCCGCTCGCCCGCTGCTGTCTCACTCTGGTCCGCCATCTTTAATCCAAAGCCGGGTAAGGTGGAGGGCGGCGGACGGCTATTGGCTGCCCGCCGCGAGGTCTGCCGGGACTTGTAGTCCCGCCCGCTTTACTTTGTCTGTCTGAGCCCTGGCAACAACAACAAGTCCCGTGATGCCCTGGGGCAGGCGGAAGCCGTGATAGCAAGGGGCGCAAAGACTTGTGGGACATGTAGTGCGCTGTAGTGACAGAAAACTGCCAATTTTAGTCAAAGGGAGTGGCACCTCCTGGTTTCCTGAAGGATTTTAGATCCTGTGTTATTTATTAATTGTTCTGGTTTTCAGAATTTTACTTAAAATAATGAGTTAGTATAAAAATATAAGTTATAATGGGCGTTTCTGAGGAGATTTTATATCTCACACCTGTAACTCAGAGCAATGCTGGCTGTCCAGGGGGCCAGTGAGCGTTACCCCTGGGGGGCCAGACCACAGCAATCGCTCATATGAGGGGGAGTGAAACACATACTGCCCCCACCCCTCCCAAATCCCCTCAAATAAACACACTGCATGAATTACCCCCCAAAACACACACTATGGGACCCTCACTCCTTTAAAGAGACACAGTGCAGGCATTACCCCCCAAAACACACACACTGTGCCCCCTCAAATAAACACACTGCAGACATAACTCCCAAAACATAGACTATACTCCTGTTACATCAAATAAACACACTGCAGACATTACCCCCACCCCCCAAATCACACTGACTGTGCCCCCTCAAATAAACACACTACAGACATTACCCCCCCACCCCCAAAATCACACTATGACCGTGCCCCCTCAAATAAACACACTGCAGACATTACCCCCTCCAAATCACACTATGACTGTGCCCCCTCAAATAAACACACTGCAGACATTACCCCCACCCCCCAAATCACACTGACTGTGCCCCCTCAAATAAACACACTACAGACATTACCCCCCCACCCCCAAAATCACACTATGACCGTGCCCCCTCAAATAAACACACTGCAGACATTACCCCCTCCAAATCACACTATGACTGTGTCCCCTCAAATAAACACACTGCAGTCATAACTCCCAAAACATAGACTATACTCCTGTTACATCAAATAAACACACTGCAGACATTACCCCCCCCCCCAAAATCACACTATGACTGTGCCCCCTCACAAATAAATACACTGCAGACACACCCAAATCACACTATGACTGTGTCCCCCAAATAAACACACACTACAGACATTACCCCCAAATCACACTATGACTGCCCCCTCAAATAAACACACTACAGACATTACCCCCCCCCCAAATCACACTATGACTGTGTCCCCTCAAATAAACACACTGCAGACATTACCCCCCAAAACACACCATGACTGTGTCCCTTCAAATAAACACACTGCAGACATTACCCACCCTCCCCACAAAAAACACTATGACCGTGTCCCCTCAAATAAACACACTACATACATAACCCCCCTAAAAAACAGACTATACTCCGGTTACATCAAATAAACACACAGCAGACATTACCCCCCAAAACACACCATAACTGTGCTTTCTCAAATAAACACACTGCAGACATAACTCCCAAAAAACAGACTATACTCCTGTTACATCAAATAAACACACTACAGACATTACCCCCCCAAAACACACTATGACTGTGTCCCCTCAAACACACTTCAGACATAACTCACCCTCCACCCCCAAAAAAAACACACTACGGCCGTGCCCCCTCAAATAAACACACTACATACATAACCTCCCCCCCCCAAAAAAAAAACCTATACTCCTGTTACATCAAATAAACACACTACAGACATTACCCCCTCAAAACACAATATGACTGTGTCCCCTCAAACACACTACAGACATTACCCCCCCAAACACATTAGGACAATTTCCCCTCAAATAAACACACTATGACCGTGTCCCCTCAAATAAACACACTACAGACATTTCCCCCAACACACTATGACTGTATCCACTCAAACACACTACAGACACTACCCCCCCAAACACATTATGACCGTTTCCCCTCAAATAAACACACTGCAGACTTTCCCCCCAACACACTATGACCGTGTCCCCTCAAATAAACACACTACAGACATTACCCCCTCCCAACACACTATGACCGTATCCCCTCAAATAAACACACTATGGCCTTATCACCTTAAATAAACACGATAAAGACATTAACTCCAAAACGAACACACTGTACCCCATTTCCCCAATCTCCTTATACAAATGCACACTACATCCCTTAATGCCACCTAAGTTTCCATGTTTTTGGTGTGCCCCCAAATTTCCCTTTTTTCTGTGTATGCTTTGAGACCAGACAAAATTCCTTTAGAGTTGAGCACCTGCCCCACACTTCAAATGTCCCTTAGGTGACCACAGGAAAGTAAAATTTGAAAAGGTTTTGCGTAGCAGTGTCCCCTTTATTTGATATAGAGTAGTTTTATTTTATGCATTCTTAATAAATACATAAAAGCACTGTTAGCTATGGGACTTTATTTTTTGAATTGTGTTTTTGCTCATAAATATTTAAAATAATATATATTTGCAATACATTTATACTGGATTAATGGAATGCTCTAAAATGTAAAGGGTTACTCCAGCCCTCTTGGGGGGCAGGGGGAAAGCACTACTAACTTGAATTAGTATCCTATCCTAAACTCAGTACTCTTATAAATTAACTACGGAACAGTTCCCCGGAGGTTTGCTGCCTCCTCTCGTTAGCGCCCATAAACTAACAGCGGTGGCAAGAGCGCTGTACTTGAGCTCTCCTGCCTCCTCCCACACAGTCCTTAGATCAGCTCCTCCAGACTTTAGACATGCGCATGCACAAGGGCACCAGCTCAGTGCTATAACGGGTTATTTCCCTGTCAAGAGACTGAAAATCTTTTGTTGCAGAAAAAAGGGTAGGGCTTGCTAAGGCAGTTCGTAACATCTGTAGCCTTTGCAAGCCTTTTTAAGATATGCATAAAAAATGCATGCATGTATACATTGGGGGTATTTCTACTAAAAAGTGATTTCATTGTTTTCTGCCCATTTTGGCAGTGGAGTTTCACTTTAAAACTGTATTTTTGTGTGTGCGTGGTTCTTTAATCTGTATTTTGTTTCACATTTCACACTTCACACGGCCATACTGTCCATGTCTGTAAATGTGTGATTTTTGCATGTCTGCTAAAATAAAAAGTGTCATGATGTGTGTACTTTATTATTATTTTTTTTTTTTACCAATATACATTTGCTAGTCATACAGGTGTATAGTGCATAAAATTTACCACAACATTCATTTGCCTCCATTATGATGAATCATTCATTTTGCTCAATTATAAAAGATACATCCTACAGGATAAAAAATTATTTAACATGAGCATGCTCACTAAAATCTGTGATATTATTAGAATAGTTAACGTTCTTTAATCATCCATTTGTTTAAATTTTTTTACCTTCCCTGAACCTTCTGTTTCTATCTGTAATTTCACTGTGCTATATTCTTACATCATTAACACCCCTCAATTATAACCAGCCATCATTCTCACATCACAAAGCCTGCCATATGCTCAGTGACTACACCACCACACCCAGCTATAATTTAGCCTCACCCTTTTTAAACGGCTCTTGAAAACGCCCAGTTCTGATTGGTTCCTATATTATTACTACAAGCAACTCTGTATTCACATCAGTTTTTGAAACCTGGCAACAGGTGATAACCATGTTAAGTCACGTCTCCTAAAGCTGCACCTTTCTACTTCAGGTGTAGTAAAAAAAAAAAAAATTAACTAGAATTCGGAAATTGCCTTCAAACTGCCAGTAATAGTCGCCACTAGCAAGAGATGCTATTGGTCATCAATATAAATATTTACCAAGGGGAGAACAGAATAGTTTTAAGGTGGTAGAAAGGAAGCTCTTGCATAGGGTGTAGCAGAGCTCCTATATCCCGGCTGGATATCTCTGCTGGAATCCCATTTTACCTGGAAGAAGCCCTGTTCAGTGAATATAGCTCTCTGATCCTATTAATCAGACGATACATGATTCTGGAAGTATAAGTGATTTTATTGTAAACAATGCACTCTTTTATATATGGACCACCAGTATGGGGTCTCCATACAAAGCATACAAGCCCACACAGCACAGCAACCAGACATTGTCCCCAGCCACTCAGTTCCGCCACACCGACGGGTTGTGATCAGTGAGTAAAGTAAACTGCTATCCGTAGAGATAAAGCTGTAATTTCTTAAAGGCCCACACCACCACAAGGCATTCTTTCTCGATGGTGGCATAGCTCATCTTCCTGGGTAGACGTTTTCGGCTGAGGTAAGCTACCGGGTGTTCTCAAGGTGTGGACAAGAAAGCATTTAGTTGTATTGGGGGCTGCCAGGACAGGGGCATTCATGAGGGCCATTTTCAGTTGCTGGAATAAATGCTCACACTCTGGTTCCCATACTACTTGATGCTGTAGCTTCTTACGGGTCAGGTTGGTGAGGGGCTTAGCTAGGGCGCTATAATTCGGGACGAATTTTCTGTAATACCCTGCTGTCCCTGGAAAGGCATGATTTAGGTTTTCTTTCTGGGAGTTTGTGAGTGGGCTACTGCCTCAATTTTAGCTGGTTTAGGTTTTTGCTTCCCACAACCAACCCGGTGTTCCAGGTACTTGACCTCGACCATTTGCTGGGCTTGAGTTAGGCCAGCTCCCCGTATCCTGTCTAGTACTGCCCCTATGTGGACCAAGTGTTCCTGCCAGTTGTCCCTGAAGATTGCGATGTTGTCAAGGTACACGCAAGCATAATCCTAGAGGCCTTCTAGGAACTTGTCTACCATCCGCTGAAACATGGCCGGAGCGTTTTGCATGCCAAACGGCATAACCCAAAATTGCTACAGGCCAAAAAGGGTGACAAATGCCTACTTAGGGATGGCATCCTCGGTTAGGGAAATCTGCCAGTACCCCTTACACAAATCTATTGTAGTGAGGTACTATCCCCAGTCCATTAGGTCCAAGAATTTGTCTATTCAGGGCATAGAATAAGCATCTCACAGTCGTATCGTTCAGCCTTCCGGTAGTGTACGCAGAAGCAGGTCATTCCG